AATCCAATCACCCTAGGGATGTGCACCTGCTAGATATCCAATATCGTATGCATCCAGAAATTAGTGCGTACCCACGCAATGCCTTCTATGATGGTAAGCTGCAAGACGGCCCTGACATGGCGCGGCTTCGCACTCGTCCATGGCATCAAAGCGAACTTCTTAGTCCATATCGGTTTTTCGACGTACAAGGTCTTCATCAAAGTGCTGCAAAGGGTCACTCCCTGGTCAACATGGCGGAACTTCGGGTTGCCATGCAACTGTACGAGCGCTTGGTCTCGGATTTCCAGGGTTTCGATTTTGCGGGTAAAATCGGCATCATTACTCCTTACAAAGGCCAACTAAGACAGTTGAAAACACATTTTGCTGCGAAATATGGAAACGCAATCTTCAGCATGATCGATTTCAACACTACAGATGCCTTCCAGGGAAGGGAAAGTGAAGTTATCATCTTCTCATGCGTCAGAGCCTCGAATAAGGGAATTGGTTTCTTGTCCGACATTCGTCGTATGAATGTTGGTTTGACGCGTGCCAAGTCGTCACTTTGGGTTCTCGGAAATTCACAGTCCCTGGTGCAGGGAGAGTTCTGGAATGGCCTTATCAAGGACGCTCGCCGTCGAAATGTTTACACTGAGGGTGATGTTTTGAAGATTCTTCAGCGGCCCCAGTTCTCTGGTTACAAGAATGTCGACATGCTTGACGCGAATGCATCGGAGCCAACGAACCCTTTCTTTGACACTCAAAATGACCCTGTTTCTCGGTCGTCTTCTGATCCTCGTGATGACCCCTCAATAGAGTCTCCCTATCCTACGAGTGCGTCTGGGCAGGAGACTCCTTTCGTCCCTCTGCCTGAGGGGCCATCGGGAGGTGCCAACGGCTTAGATGATAACCGCGTCTGCGGGTATTGTGGCAGCTTCTCTCACATGACCCATAATTGCGACAACACTGATGCGAAGGAAGCGGCTCGAGGCAACTGCTACAGATGCGGGCAGCCCGGACATACGCGTGCGGTTTGTTCTTTGGAGCGTTGCCTAGAATGCGGCGAGGTCGGACATGTTGCTCGCGACTGCAGGTCTACAAAAGTTTTATCAAAACAAGAGAAACAGCGGATCGCGCGGGACGAATTCCATCATTCCCAGATGCAAAAGCAAAGGACAGAACGCCAAAGAGCCAGACAACTTGGAGGGCACGATCCTAAAGTGCCTGTCATCCAGGTTCCATCTGGATCCAGTGAGAAAACGTCCGAACAGCCCAAGGCAGACAGCAGAGGCGCAGCTAAGCGCAAGCACACTGATTCACCGTCTTCTGATGCTGTGAAGCCCGCCAAGCGTAAACAAGAACAAATCACGCCGCCAACAGCTCCTAAAAATCCGCGACGGAAGATTGATGCTAATGTTCCCCCGAACACAGAGGTTGGCCGCTCCCTTCATATTCTCATTTGACTCTGCTGACTAGTCTTTCAGGATTTGGTTAAGCCGTCACGAGAGGGGCCGGCGTATGCGCCCATTAATCACAATAAGCCTCCAAGTGGTCCCGGGGCGGGAGCTGGTACAGCAAAAGTATGTGGTGGTATCTTTGCTATGGACAGTTTATTGAATCACTTGCTAACTTAGCCCCCTATATAGCCTCCTCCACGGCCTCCACAGCGGACCGGAAATGGGGCCAGGCCCCCTCCACCAATGCGAAAAAAGAAAGAAGCCGATCCATTTATCAGGCCGAAGCGAAGATAGGTTGTCGAACGGATGCAGCATATTATTTAGTGCATTGCGTTCCATTTGGGTGTTTCGTACTTCTGTCTTACAGCAGACACATCACATATATCTTAAGCCATCACATTGATCTACAAAACGACGAGACACGGTCGTGCCTGTCTCTGACATGCATATGAGCGCTTATATCATTTTTTCCATATTTGGTTCTTGTGCATTTTCACCTACCTTTCTTCTTAACTCATGTATATGCCATTCTCATCGCATCTCTCTCTCTCATCTCTTGGCTCACGGCAAGGAGTTGCGCTGACAATGCGTTCTCTCTATGAAGACACCAGATTTGGGGGGTTCTTAACAATGCCGGGTTTTTGAGGTCGGAAGCATTACGTGGCGTTGGATTCTATTTCTATTCAAATTCTGCTCCGAGATAGTATATGTATTACAGAGGGCTGAAGATCTTTTATTCAGTGAATATACCCTTAGAAACAGGTGATCTGGGAGGGTTGCTGCATTGACTCATAAGATTATATTTTTGGTTGTATCTACACTTCCTCATATTAAACAGCCTTAATACAGGGCTCAAAACGCTTGATGTACTCAATTGTGCAGATAAAGGTTCCGAGTCTCTTTTGCTGAAAACACTCCTGGTTCTACTATGACTTTTACAGTGGTACTTTCTTGTTTGGTCAGTTTCCTGTAGACCCAGGAAAGACTATTTAATGCATGGTCAAGGTTGATGGAGGCCAAAGCCCCGAGACATATCAGTTGATCACATATCCATTCCAAGTTTTACCTCATATTTAACCGTTAGGCCCAGCTTACGCCACCTTTGGGCACGCAAGGTCTAGAAATGGATGGTTCCGAGAAATGCGAGATTAATCTAGAATATTGCCACCATATCTTATACGATCTCACTAACCCTAAATACCTAAAATGGACGAGTGAACATTTATGACTTTCAGATGGATCAAATCAACCCCTTGCCAAAGTCGCTGCAGCGGTCCGCTGGGTTGCAGTGATGTCGTTAGCATTGCTTAAGGATGCTAAGCCGGGGGGTTACAGGTGTTCTTCCCTTCGCACGATCGGAGAATAAAGGCTCAGGCGTAAGGTATGATGGAAGGCACATACACGAAGTAGATGGACGAATGCTCCTTCATACTTGAATGACATGACTTCGTACCAGTTCTCGCGATGCCCTATGGAACTCCATGATCCTTGTTCATGCAAGGGGGTGGAGAAGCTGTGTTCTCCCTGTCTGGTTTTTTGATCCTTTCCATTCCGTATCTCGGCTGGAATCTTGACGAAGGGACGCTAATTAAATCTACAGAGGCTCCTCCTTTGTTTCTTTCACTCTCTTTCCTTGGTTCCTTCCTCCCTGTCGGGTTTGGCCATCATGGTGCAACACGAGGTGACGCAGTGTGACTCTTGCAGATTGACTGAGGAGCGACCGTGCAGATAGTCTAGATACACCTAGTTGTTCTTCAAGCCTGTTGTGGGTTGTAGGACGATGGGTATATCACAGTAGTACTTAGGGCTAGGATTCGGGACCCAATGGAGACACCGATAGAACCAGGGACTTTTGGTTGGGTCTTTGGCGGTCCAGAGTAACAACTAATAATAATAGTAGGTAACCATTATAGTTACGTATAGTAATAGCTACTGCCTTTCTACCTACTAGATATCTATCTATTATTATCATCGAATTGGTTCATTTGGGGGAGGTCGGTAAGGGCTCGGCCGCGACTATTTTCGTAAGCCTCCTAGAAGCGCAAATAGTCAATATTAATAAGTTTGTGACCTGTCAAGTCAGAAAGTCCCCGTTCATCGTACAAACAAATTCCACAGTGGCGGGATCAACTGTGCATCTATCACATTGGTATAGTCAATTTCTGATCTGCAATTGCCACTACTGACTCGGTGGCTTCTCAAATCCCCGTCTCACTCTGAGACTTCGATCCTTACGTGCGTTTTTCTTTTTCTTTTCCTTTCTTTTCGGTGATTGATCCCTATTCATAGAGGGTCACTCACGCCTTTAGCATCATGATCAGGGCGTATCCTGCGTTCTTCAAAGGGGGCTCGTTTTAGTTCACACTTCAATGAACCCCCTCTAGGAGGAGATAGGACATCCCTTGCTTTTTTTTAACAGTTCTATTCATCTGAAAAAGACGTCACCGGGGGGAGAAGACACTCACTAACTAATGCTGCACTCGTACCGTGGATTCTCACGATATAGTCGCGACCCATTTTTCTTTGTTTACTTGCCGAGTAGAAGCCCCGACCAATTGCTTCGAGAAAAGTTGCAAAGAGGGCCAACTAACCAGGATCGATAGTGTGGGACCCATTTGTTTGGGGACGAAATTCCGTCGCTCTTGACAGGATCATCCTCCGAGCAAATAGTTTCGCACAACTCGATGGGGCATCGGTCTGTCATTCGCGCCACCTGAAGCTCGATCGAACTACTAGCACGGACGGATCGTCCATCAACGTTTTTTGTTATTCTAATTATTTCATTTTCTCCTGCCTCCCCTGCGGTGTTCCTTTCCTGTTCTGTCAGGAATGGCTCCACTAGCCTTGCTTGCTGACGCCTAACTGGGGGACTATCTTCCCTCCTCTCGGCCCTTGGTGCCTGTGGAATCCTAGCATGGCGGAATGGCATTACTTAGATTCAACTCTATCTCTCAATCTATCGAGAACGAGGACGGCTCTTCATTCGACCATGTCCGGGTGGTCGCATTCAGAAACTGGACTGGATGCTCCCGTCTATGTAGGGTCGTGACAGGCCCAGATGTTGAGGGAAATCTCTTTAAAGAAAGGACCGCTCCCTGCGGTTCGTCTTCCTTGAATGTAGGTTGATATCCTGTTACTTTCCCCTCATGGATCTCGATTATCAATTAATTTCTTGTACATACATACATTTTGATTAGGCTTTTTCGCCTCACACTCATTTGTCTCTCTCTGTCTCTCTCTCTCTTCTCTGTCTTTTTCTGTCTTTCTCTGTCAAGTCTCTTCTCTTTGTTTGATACCCCAATTGTTGATCTCATCTTCTATCTACATACGTCATTCCTTCTTCTATGTTCCTTTCATGTCACTGATCTTTCTTATTCAAGTATTCAATACTCCCTCTTTCTCTCCTTATCGACTCATATGCCAGTTAGTCGGTCTTAGATTCACATACAACTGAGACCTAGGCGACAAATCGACAGGAAAACATCAACGAGAACTCAATTGCACCGAATCCAATAGTACCAACCCTGCCGCCCCGGTCCTCAATTGTCTAAACTCGGTCAACTCACCATGTCCACCATCCCAGCGGGGTACATTCAGCCTCCAGGATTGTCAAATATCCAGCCGAGGACCGAACATGTCCCCGACCTTGTACAGTTCTTCCAGGCGCAGGAATCACTATCAAGCGGATCTTCGCAATCTGGCGGTGCTCGTGAGATCTTTAAAGCGGGCCAGCGGCGCTTGCGACAGCTAGCTCAGCGCCCCAGAAGGGGTAATGACCCCCAAACCAAAACCGAAGAAGCATCTCGTCAGCTGCTAGCGCTCCAGCAAGAGGGGTTCTTGCCTATATCACTACCTGCTCCCAAGACCAAGAAATCTGCTCCTAAACGAAGCATCGATTCTACGGTATCTTCTTCCTTATCAACTTCCAATCACAGCTTCCAATCGAGCTCTAGAAGGGAGGTGGAAAGCATTGGACAGCCTTGGCTGGAGAGTTCCCTTCAAAGGCTAGATACGCGTGAAACAAAGGGCAGCCGTCTGTCTTCGCTTGATCTACGTGATTTTACATCATTGATTGACGCTGCAGGGCCTCATCCTCCTCGTCTTGAGGATGTGACCCCTCCGCCATATCAACCTTCAGCCCAGTTGAACAATCCTCCGAAGGACAACCGTGATTCGCAAGATCATTCTTTTAATCCTGAAACTAGAAATATTTCGACTTCCAGTGTTAGCGAACCGGTAGATGAGATAGAAGCTTTGCCAAAGTTCCCAGATATTCCGGATCGGACAAGCAGTCATCACGCGAAGATGTCTGTCAGTATTATCTCTTCAGACAACAAACAACAGGTAAGCCCTGGTCATCCAGTAAACATGCTATACGCAATACTGATTTGAACGAAGTTGAACCCCGAACAGTCAGAGGCACTCAAACTAAGAGAACACAAGGATGTCCCCGAAGCAGCAGGCAGAAGGTCCCCTCTAACCAATGCCCCAAATACCATCCCAAGTCACTCAAATCCAGCTGTACAAACTCTGAAGCTCTTTCCTGACACCACCCCTCCACGCATGCCGAATAAAGGAGCCCTGCGCATATCGAATGGCTGCCCATCCCCTGCCATGGGGTCCTTACAACCCACCCCAGCGCAGCAAAGTTCCTCCGCCGCTAGCACTCCACAGAGCGATGGGAAAACCAAACCTGCATCTAGGACTTCAGGCTGTGATGATGAATTTGAAAAGCCTAGCCGTATGGGTCATGTGCCCCAAATGCAGCCTGCAAGCCTAAACAAAAGTACTGTGTCGAATCCAGGACATGAGAAGCTCTCCGTAGCTAGGAACAGCCGCCGCCCGGCATCGTTACCCATGGGCGCAATTGATGCATTCCCTCTTCCAGCACCTATGAGACCTTTGCCTGCACTGCCGGAAGGAGTTGCAGGGATTCGTCCTATTCATGGACACGAGGCTCATACCAGTAGAAAAAGTCCTCAAGTCGTCCAAAGGCAGCAAGACTCTCAGCTACCACCACGCTCTACAGAAGACGGTCCCAAGGGTAGCTCTGTGAAGAGAGTCAACCATGTATCAATACCGGGTCGGACTGCATCGGATACTACCAACCCCGGAATAGCAAAGGATCGGGGGCATGAACTCTCCAAGGCAGACACATCGAGCCCAGCTATACCTGTCCCTTCTGTAAGGGATGTTCAGAGCCGAGCTGAAAGGGTTTGTGCGCTGAAGAAGAAGGACATGTCAGCGAGTCGAATTTATTTGAAAGACTCGGACAGCCGCCCACTTGAAAGGGGGCGATCTCTTTCCTCGAGACTCTCTGAAAGGACCTCATCAGAAAAGTATGGTGAAGCGACAGTTGCTCCACGGGACCGCGATGAGGGAGCCCACAACCGATGTGAAAGGGGACTTGCGGATACCCATTCGCCCCCACTTTCCCCTGTATCGTGGAATTCTCCTGAGCCATCAACTGAAGCCCACGCGACTGGCAATAATGGCAGCTCGCTCGATTGGGCTCACGCCACATCATTCGACACCCGCGGGCATTCATCGCTACCTGCCTCGAAAAGAAACTCTCATTGTTACCCAAGCGGGGGTGCACGAAGCACAAGCGTTCTAGGCGAGAGGCTAAACAATGAACTTGACCTTTTCGAACGCTCCGCAACCCCTCTCGCATCCTCAGAAGATGAAGCTGTGGATTTTGGCTCGCACAAGCAACAGCCACACCCCATTTCTAGCAGGCGACGACAACCTAGGTTAGCATCCATTGAGGTTGGTGAGCCTGCCACACACAAAACGCGTCATACAAAGAAGCCGTCATCCTACGATTACTCCCGGCCCATAACGCCTCGAAACCGCAGAAGCCATGGCTTAGAGAAAGCTTCCCCTCAGTCACCATACTACTATCACGAAAAACGAGGCAGCCGCCATCGCCCCTCTTACGTTCGGGAGCTTGAAAAGCGCATTGCGCATCTCGAGCATCAAAACAAGACCCTTCAAGCTGCTCTTCTTGCGGCTTTAGATGTGGGAGGCAAACAGAACGTAGAAGGCCTCCTTGGAGGATCGTCCACCTCACTCTCTACTACCCCGACTGGTAGATCCTTCTCATCTATGACGAACACATCCTCTAGCCCTGGTTCCCATGTCATGAGGAACGAGCGGGCTGCACGCAGACGCCAGCCTCCGTACCGTCCAGAGACTTGGATTGCCAGCCCAGGCTCCAGCCAGCGGAGTAGCTATGGGTCGGAAGCAAGTGCTGACATCCGAGAGCTGGAAAACATGATTGAGGATTTTGATTTTGGTTGGGTGTCGGATCAATCGAATCCTGAGAGCACACAAAAACTCAAGATAAGGGCTTAATGTACTTTCTTATTCGTTAGGGTCGAAATATTCAATGTATAAATTCTGCATTCCTTTTTGAAGTAGTGTATTCTGTACTTGTTCAAGACCTAGATATCGCTGTAGATGTTGTGTTGCCTGCTATGGTAATAATATGCAATGTCACAAACTTAAGAGGTTATACCAATGACGAGCAAGAGACAAGAGAAGGACAGCTACAAAGATAACTATAGTCGTAGAATAGATGGAACTAAAACCAGGAGCCGTCTAGTGTAAGTTAAAAATATAAAATCAATCTTTCCCAGACTGTCCCGCTTTCACTTGCGAAGATAGGGTAGGGTACGGCAGGCTATTACCGAAGAAGCACTTAATCTATAGAAGTACTGTAGTAGATATAGTGGAAATAATCTTTTTTTTCAACTAGCTAATTAATAAATTACTAATAATCTATCATCTTTACTAACAAAGCTTTGATTTGCTTGGTAAATCAGATATTTTCGATTGTTGCGGAGCGTCGGTAATATCTTGAACTGAGAGTTTATTTACATGCTAATATCTAGATATAATTACGACGAGCTTAACAGCATATACCAGCGGCGACCAACGTGCAATGCCTCAAGACAAGGAAAGGATAGTTCAACTATACTTTAGAAGTCATACCACTCTAAAATATATCATTGTGCTCCAAATTATTCTCTACCAAGCTACCCCGATGCCCACCTATCTGTATGTTTTTTGCTCAAGACCTTATATCTATGGTTCATTGTTGCTTGTGTGTTTACGTTTACAGCGATATGGCCATAACTTGCGAGCACTGGTTCTTATTGCTGTCCAGGCATGTACTAGATAGATATTAAAAAGTAGCTTTAAAAATGTCCAACTTTTGTGAAGTCAATCACTGCTCCGGTGCCGGCTTAAACAACAGAGGTTCAAAGACTTATACCGGATAATTTGGAAGCTCCCTATTATTAGAAATTCCTTTCATCATTTTACGTGTAGCTATACGATCATACTATACTCTATTCTGATACTGAAGATCCGGGCAGCTACAGATACCTGAAATAGACATGCCATGACAAACGCGATACGGCAAAAAAATCAGCGAACAGCTCCACATGTTTTCTTTATCTCCAAAAAGTGAATAGCTCAGGTAGGGCAAAGAAGACGAGAAATCAAGCTACTGGTTACCACGTTTCGCGACGACGACGACGACGATCACGCCGGTGAGGTTAATGGAAACCAGTATATATCCGCAACCTATAAGCTCGCTTCAGGACGACACTACCGATGTGAGTGCAGGGAGATATGGATCTAATAAGGCTTGAAAATCGGCTAATCATCCTAGATTTCTTATGAGGTATCTTCCCATGTCGTAATTCCCAATATTCGCACTATATTATACAATTTATCACATCCCCTACTTGAGAACAACTATCCTGAGTTAAGACATATACCGTACTACAGGATTATGGAGAGCTACTATGGTCGTCATGTAACAGGCCGGCTGCTCAAGAGCATTGGCCCGATGTCAAGGCATTGCAGGGCTCGAAGGTCACCGTCAAGCTGTAGGTTGATCGACAATTTGAATACCCCGCGAGTAAGATAACAGAGGGAAGGCTAGACGGTATCAGATCTAAGCAGTTGGAACCTCTTATTGCCTGGCCAGACAATAGTGGATATCTCGACTATGTTATGGATGATCGAAACATGGGATACTGGCGGCCTTACGTTGGCCAGTCCTTATGCGCTGAAAGACGGATCAAGCAACATGTTAAGGGGTCCGCCAAGCCAATAGCAGATACGCTTCATTACTTTGTGATTCAGAAAGACAATGGGATGAGAACGATGGATTATGTTCGACTTTGGTCCTTCACAGACTCTGGGATTCTTGACCAGGAAACACAGAGCATATTCTCAACACTTCTAGAGATGTCCTTCGCTTTTGCTTTCCAGTCCTTACCCTTCGATACCCTTGAGCGATATTTCGGTTGCCCAGCAGAGACCTCGTATTCTGACCTTGCCTCAGATGTTCTCCTGCCCCTTGCCCAAGGCATTGGTCTGAGATCACATATTCGACAGGCCCAACCCCATCAAGCTTGGAAAGTCCCCCCGACCCTCATATCACGATGTGGCCCAGGTCTAGAGGAGAGACCGAGGAACCGGATTAGGATGCTAAGCAATGGTGCGGTGACCCGTTTTTGACGAAATGGAGATATTAACAAGGGCATTTTGACCGCGCTGGGGTGGAAGCTACGAGGTTCCGCCAGATTGACCATCCTTTCAATGGCCGCCACACATTAGACCAAGGCGCATTTGACACATCGTCCATCCGGTTAAGACTCGCTGAGGCTGTCTTGAAAAGCCATGGGAGAAGAGATCCATCCCAGTTCTCTTATTGGCCATGCAAGAACAAGGGTAGGGATTATAATACCCGGCTGCCCGATGGGTACTGGCCACGATAAAACAGATGTACCTCGGGGCATCCACGAAAGCGGTCTCTACGAAACGAACTGTACGCTGTGGTTTGCGAATCCTCGACTGTGCAGGTTCTCACGAGCTTCGCAGAGCTGTGACGTACCTGCCATAGCCTATGAAGGTGTAGCAGGGAGTTTGGTTGTCCCAGAGCAAATCATTGCCAATCGTTTTGAAGTCACGTACTACTGTGGGAAAGTCTCCGGGCTTTTCGAGACAGAAGGGAATCTGATCAGATGGGTTTATCTGAAAGCCCCGACATCATTAACAGCGCTTGGTCAGATCCAGGCCCTAGGTACAAAAGCTTGTGGAAGTATTCAAACTTGCTGCAGCATTAACCGGGACGTAAGGGATTCGTCCATGTTTCTACAATTTTTGCATCAGCTGTGCATCACATCCTGCGAATCTACCACTAGGAGAACAATGATTCCCAGAAAATGACAGCTTCGAATATCAATCCCAAAATTGAGGCCTTCATTTTCAGGAAGGTATTTCGATGTGCCGACGATATCAATTACCTGGAAAAAATCGGTGGCTCTCTGGCCCGAGACTTAATGTTGCTCTTGTTCACTTTAGACGAAAAGCTCCAAACTGAGAGCAGAAAATAGAAAGTCGAACCCAGCCCGGTACTTCCAACCAGGGCCATGAGTCGAGAGTACATAGAAGGGATGCTCTTCCCAAACGCAAACTCGGGGAAATGGACCAATTCTACACTGCTCTGTATTCCCAGGTGCCTTTAGAACATGGCAACCAGCAGAAAGCACTTGCCACCGTCCCTCTCGGGGAAGTGATTGGTGAATATATGGGCTCTACTGATGAAGTAGAACTACAAGAGACAGTGGCGCTTGTACAGAAGAAATAGCAAGAGATTATCGTCAAATGCGCTACGCCAGAAGAGTAAGATATTCTCGTGGTAGAAATGAACGATATGGAGGATGGGGATGTCCTCAGTGATATCATCCCCGTATCAGAAGCAGAGTATTCTGAACAACATATTGCAGTCGCGACGTCTGATCCATGCCAAATGCTAATAAGACGGGTAGCCTCTTTAACGAGAACGCCTGCGGACCGAAAGTCGCGCCGGACAATCCAGGACAAGGGGATCCTAGAGGGTCAAGGTACTCTGGAAATTAGCATAAGGAAAAAAGGCCAGTTGCAATACGAGCGGGCCCTGAAATAGCAGCACTAAGCTTAGAGCCACATGCAGAATCTCGAAAGGATCTTTCTGCCAGAATCTTGATACAGGCAGTCATTCAGCCTGGAAAGCGACACCCGGAAAACTGGGCTACTATAAAGGTTCATGATAATGACCCAGGAGCGGAGCTTGCGTTTCTTGCTATTCTCCCTCGAGGTAGTGCCTTTCTTCGCACAGTTGGATAGGGTGCCCCCCCACCTCCCCCGATAGCAAATACCTTGTGGATTGGTTCTCGGGTGATTCTATTGAGATGATAGGCACACGGCCGCGAAGACACATCAATGCGCATGATAACTTAGTCATGAGGCCACTCAGGCTGTCTGAGAAGGATGCTTGGTACACAGATGACCAAGGCCACCTTGTGCAAGGTCTCTAGAACCTAAGAAAGCTAAAGAGTGGTGTGAGCGAAGGCAGGCCGTTTATCTACCCTGCTGAATCGTTACTCCTTACATTCGTTTGATCTCCTATTTATTAAAATACAACTACCCTAGATAGACGATACTAATACCTACTATACCTACACAGAAATGGATGTTTTATTTAAACGATTATTGGACACCCTGTTTACTTAGTTATATACCCTTCCGTGCTGTCTCTTGTATGTTGTACCGGGTTATTGAGACCGGATATTCTTATTTTTGTTTGATAAAAAATTGGATGACCCTCTTTCATCAGTGTATGTTTTATTCGGAATATTCTTTGAGTGGATATCACCCTAAGTTAATATGAGCAAGATCTTATATATTTTAATAAGAAATATCATGGTGCTCTATATTCCCAAACCACAGCTAGTGTTGTAGCGATGCTACCTAAGGTCGGGATATGAAACATCACGGACAAGCCGAGTTACAAAAGGAATAAAAATCATGTCTTTCATTTGTCCTTCCTTGGCTTTTTATTTTTTGACAGGAAATGGAAAACAAAAAGAAAAAAGATGAAAAAGGAAGGCCCGAACCGCGGTTTGAACGCGGGACCTCTCGCAGATTGTTGCTATTGCAGCCCAAAGCGAGAATCATACCACTAGACCATCCGGGCTTCGATATATTGTGTGTATATTTCTATGATTATAACCCAAAAGTGACAAATACATTACAGAGCTTGTGTTTCAATAGTTACGTGAGAGGAGCTATGTTATTAAAAAACTGGGTGTCTTAAATATGAAGTCGCGTCGTTTCTCCCTACTTCCTTGACTGGTAGGGAAAAGAAAAAAGATCGAAGTAGATAACTTGGTAGGTTATATCTTACTGGTACATACCGTTGCGGGCCGGTCCAGCACCCGGCGGGGAACACAGACACAACCCTTTCACTATGATCGCGAACGACGAAGTGCTCCATATATGTATGTGCATTTCTATACCCCCTATTGTGCATGCCGTTGGATATACTGTGTATGGGTTTAGTTGTAATGGGAGGATCTTCTAGTGGTCCTCTTTTCCCTACCATTTCCTTGCCTCCCGAGAGTTCGTAGTATATACAATTGTATATCTTGTTAGCTTACTACCGTGCATCTTATATCCAGCACCTTCCTAGCAATTCCCGAATGAAAATCCAATCATCTTTCTTTTTAGTATATTGAAAAAGAGAAAGGATAGAATTCTACAGCAAACAAAGCCGATAAAAATTAGCTTCGTTTGAGTGTTGAACACAGCTCTATCGACATAGCCTGGTGTGGGGCAGCATGGAGGCAGCAAACGTCTTCATTGGAGAAGAATGTAAAAATACACATCTTTGCTGCACTGGATCTTATAACTAATAAGCTGACAATCTTTCGTAATCGCCCGGATGGTCTAGTGGTATGATTCTCGCTTTGGGTTGCAATAGCACTAATATGCGAGAGGTCCCGCGTTCGATCCGCGGTTCGGGCCTTCTTTTTTCATCTTTTTCATTTTGCCTTTTTTATATGTAGCTTTTTCTGTTTAAAGCAGCCACACAATCGCCAGCGCATTGTCTGTCTTGATCGAACCAACTCAATGCTTTATTTCTCGACGGTATGGTTGGTATGCAAGGCGACATGGCGTTGCAGTGTGGTTTGGTAGCGATTTGCCGGCACTACGCATACCTTTCCTTCTCTCTCAGTGAATCATTTTTTTCCTCACCTTGATGACTATTACTACTGTTTAGAATCTATTTCAAGGTCGCTTGATGCCGTAAAAGGTATATGTCTAACACGGCAACATGGGTAAGAGAACACCACACTGAGTTACTCCGTAAGGGTAACTATGCTATTGTCAGTGAAGCTTAGTCATCCAACCCGTGGTTTGGTCAGTGTCAATCGATAGTCATCAACAAAGTATCAAACAGCTTCATTCCTTTGTAAAACGGCAGCTTGGAAGTGCCCGAGGAGTAAAGGAAGAGCGCAGTCAAAAGTCTAGTGACTTAATCTATGTCATGAGCAAATTTTAATTCTCAGAAGCAATCGCAACCTCTTACACTCACCCCGTCTTTCCCAAACCCTCTTGAGTTCTTCCAGGAAAATGGCGCATACAACAGCAGTAGGCCTCCCTTTTTCTCCTAACTGCTTCTAAACAAGAACAACAGCTATATATTTACTAATATAACCAGTTTTCGCAGGTCCCCCAACATGTTACCGCTCTCCTCTCGCATCTCACATCGCGCCCCGGAGTCCAATCCACCTTCATCCTCTCCCGCAAAGATGGTTCTATTATCCAGAGCACAGGATTGCTAGCCGCGAAATCGGCCAGCAGTAGCAGCCCCAGCATGTCGCAGACCGATATATCTGCCGAGGAACCGTCAGAGTCAACAACGACACCTGCAGAACCATCCTCCCCTTCAACACCATCCGGCGCGGCCACTCACCGCCAACCATCCTACCAACCATCCCAAGCAGAAGCTCTAGCAGCGCGCATCTTTGCCTTTGTTTCCAGTGCATCAGATTTAAGCTTGTCGCTTTCGCGACCCCCGACTGAGACCACCAATGGTTCTAAAACAGAACCAAACGGCTTTCAAGAAGGGCTTGGCAATGGAATATCCCGAGACGATGGGGATGGCGAGACATCGGAGAAAGAGGACGACGACGAAGTCAAGCTTCTGCGACTGAGAACCAAAAAGCATGAAATTGTCGTTGTTCCTGATAAGAAATATCTGCTCTGTGTGGTACATGATGCAGCGCACCCTGCGGGGAATCCAAGTGCAAGCATGCGCCCGAGGTAATGGATGATGATAATATTCACTTCTTGGCTGTTTCCTTTCCCTTAGACTGCCTTCTCCTGTGCTATTTTAATCTGCCCTTGTTTGAACATATCATGGTTTGCATGGAATATACCCGGTTGGAATCAGAGAGCTCGTCTATTTACGTGTTTTCCGAAGTTATTTTGAGCAGGCGTGTAGTTTCTTGGATAACAGTTCGCATGAGTCTACCAGAGCCAAGCTGTGGAGACTATAATTCCAGACATGTTTGTTTATTTGACTATGAGTGAATCGGTGGTAGTTCGGGGGATCTGATACCCTACTAGTTGGAACAGTAGTGGAGTTACCCCTCTCACGCCTTATTGTAAGAGCGAACGCTGCCTGCTACTTAAGGGGAGGCAACCACCTACTCCTCGAGTAGATATATATTCTTCCCTAAGGTCCGACTTATCTCAACGGTGACACCACGCCATTCAGAATGTCCCTCAACATCGCGCAGGTTCGGTCTCGCTTCCCCGCATTGAAGCAAGAGCAGGTCTTCTTAGACAATGCAGGTGAGTGAAGCTTTGATCAAGGCCGCTGTGGCTTCATACCCCCAATACCTAGCGCTTTGCTAATCAGCCGAACAGGAGGTAGCCAAGTGCTGGACACGGTGATTGAGTCGTAAGCTTATCCTGGTAGGACAACTAGCCTTGACTTACTCATAGTCTTAATCTAGCATTACTTCTTACCTCACAAATACCAATGTTCAGTTAGGGGCAACATACACGACCTCCAAGATATCCACTGCTTCATATACCAACGCGTACGAAGCGGCGGCGAAGTTCATCAACGCAAAACCCGAAGAGGTGCGCCGGATTCCTGCACAACGAAAAGTAAACTCCCACTAACAGTCCCGATAGATCTGCCTTGGCGTATCAACTACGCAGCTCCTGCACAATCTCTCAACAGCACTGAAGTTTCAGCCAGGTGATGAGCTCATTCTTTCAAAGTTAAACCACGAGGCCAATTCCGCGGCGTGGATTAGGGTCGCAGAACGACTGGGTTTAGAGGTGAAGTGGTGGTCCGCTGCGAATCATCAGAAACTTGTCTGTGATCCAAGCGACTTGAAGCATTTGATTTCGGAAAAGACGAGACTTGTGGCTTGTCCACATACATCGAACATCGTTGGGTCTATTGTGAATGTTACGGAAATTGCGAAGATCGTGCATCAATATCCTCGGGTACGATACTTGCGAAAATAGAATCTAATGTAATGCTTACTTTTGTCTGCTAGGCCTTGCTCTGTGTCGACGGCGTTGCACTCGCGCCCCATCGACAGGTTGATGTCAAGGATCTTGATGTCGACTTCTACGTGAGTATCTGTTGCGACCCTGACCAAGGGCCACATGAGCTGACTACTACAAATAGGCATTTTCATGGTACAAGGTCTACGGCCCACATATCGCTCAGCTGTATGCCTCGTCACGCGTCCATGATCAGCTCGACCCTCTCGGTCATTTCTTCAAAGGCACCGACACACTCGACTTGAAGCTTAACCTGGCATCCGCCAACTATGAGCTTACACAGAGCATTCCACGTGTAGTCGAGTACTTCGAACCTGATGTGGCAGCATCATGGGACAATATCGCGGTCCATGAGGAGAAGCTGCAAAAGATAGTTCTGGATTTCCTCAACAGTAACGATCGGATCACTGTCTACGGAGAGCGCTCGGCGGATAGGAACCTGCGCGTCCCCGTTATTAGTTTCACAGTACAAGGCGTCAAAAGCCAGAAGCTTGTAGATGAGGTGGAGAAACAGTCTGCATATGGTTTCCGCAGTGGCCATATGTATAGCCATAGGCTGATCAATGAGGTCATTGGTCTGGAGGATGTTGAGGATGGGGTTGTGCGAATCAGTCTGCTGCATTATAATACAGGTGAGTGCTTTCAAAGCCGAGGTGGTAATCGGTATAGCCCTAACAGATGTTGCAGAGGAAGAAATGACTGGTTTGGTCAAGCTTTTGGGCGAGGTTATACCGACCCTGTAAAGTGCGTTTATACTAATGAATTTAGTTTTGGCATGTTTACCAAAATTAGAACCGCAACAAACATCAATTGGCCGGATGGTGTAGTTGGTTATCACGTATGCTTAACACGCATAAGGTCCTGGGATCGAGCCCCAGTCTGGTCATATCTTTTTTAATGGTTTTCTTCCCGACGCTTAGTTTTTGTATCTGCAAATCTTGTGTTAACTATATCTACTTTGATTAATGATGACTATAACCTGGGACAAGGCAGACGTTTCATTTCGGTACTTTATCCCGCACACGTATACCCGACAAAGGGTTCATACGTAAATGCAGATGATACCTTAGTACCTACCGATGCATTTATATATTCGAACGTAGACGGCAGAGAGAGTATGAGTGTATGTGTATAAGGCACGTGCTGATGACCTGTTATGCTATTCTTCGATTGCCACCAAATGTAGATGCTTGCCTACCATCCATTTTCGTCTGTTTTGTTTCCAGGTTGTGTCCCTCCCCCGGGTGTTCTTAATAATTATCCAAGCCATACGTTGAATTTCGATTCGATGTACGACGACTCTCCAGATTCCATGGCCGGTGGAGATCTGACCGAAGGATACATGTCTAGAACAAGCAAGTACAGGGTGTTTAGCCTTGTCAGTTCACCGGCGTGTCAGCATCCGGATTATTGGCCATGTAAGGGTATGGGTCTCTTTAATGAGTCAAGGGACATGTGATCAGAAAAGTTCTCCCCACCGGTAATGCATTCAAACAAATAAATACTTTTCAAATATAAATACACCTATAATATGAGGAAGGTGTGATGTGAAAATCCCCGCATAATCGAAACATGGAACCTACATTCATTAAGATCCCCTCGGGGGCGAAGGCTAATCCATCACCATTCAAAGTAAACATATCCGACGAGCAGATCCAAGAGCTACAGCTCCTAGTCACGCTTTCGAAGATTGCCCCTCCAACGTTCGAGGGCCTGCAGCCAGACCGTAAATATGGTGTCACAACTGAGTGGCTTGCCAATGCCAAAGAAGCCTGGAAAGCTTTTGACTGGTAGTGTGCTATGTACACCGAGACGTTTCCATGGACCTAATAATATACAGGAGATCGGTGGAGCGTCATATCAACGGCTTCCCCCAGTTCACATACGACATCGAGGGCTTGAACATTCATTTCGTCGCTATATTCTCAGAGAGAAAGGATGCGATTCCAATTTTGTTCATACACGGCTGGCCAGGGAGGCAATCCATAGTCCCTTCATTGCTGTCTCTCGGATACTTTGTTGTTTGACTAACGTGGTACAACAGGCAGCTTTCTTGAGTTTCTCCCTATTCTGTCGCTGATTCGGGAGAAATATACTCCTGCAACCTTACCCTACCACTTTGTTGTTCCATCGCTTCCGGGTTACACGTTTTCCTCTGGCCCTCCGCTGGATAAAGATTTCGGCACTGAGGATGTTGCCCGCGTTGTCAACCAGCTCATGGTTAACCTGGGATTTGAGAGTGGCTACATTGCACAAGGGGGTGATATTGGCGCCAAAATTGGCAGAATACTAGCAGTGGACTATGATACCTGCAAGGGTACGTTTGTGCTATGGAGCGTCATGAAGTGTATAGAGTGCTAATTGGACGTGACATTAGCCGTTCATCGTGAGCTTAGCACATGCGAGTTGGCCCTGTGACCGGCAAACTAATTAAGCTACAGTGAACGTCTGTTTCGTCAAAAAGCCCGATAACGTGCCGGATACCGCTATAACGGAGGTTGAGAAGCGCAACCTGGCCCGCGCAGAATGGTTCTCGTCTTCTGGAATGGGGTACTACGTGGAGCATGGCACTCGAACCAGTACCATTGGCAATGCTATTTCGACTAATCCATTGGCCCTTCTAGCTTGGTAAAGGGGCACCTGCTACCTTTCTTGCTTACCCTGCTGACAGCTATCCCTTGCAATTCTTAGGATTGGGGAGAAGTTCCTTGATTGGCCTGATGGTCCTCTGCCGCTGTATACTATCCTGGAGTCTGTGTCCCTGTACTGGTTTACAGAGACATTTCCTCGGTCGATCTATCATTATCGTGAGGTACGTTTACCTTGTATCACTACCGATGTGAAGTGACTCATAGCCTTCCATATAGGCATTCCCGCCACCTAAGATTATGCACACGCTCGATCCGAGGTGGTATATCCGTAAACCGTTTGGGTTCTCTTACTTTCCCATGGAGCTGCTGCCAGCACCACGCGCTTGGGTTGAAGCAACCGGGAACCTTGTGTTCTTCCGACAGCATGAAAAGGTGCGTTCGTCTTCTCGACCGTGCTCTCCTTATATTGACATCAACGAGGGAGGACATTTCGCAGCAGTAGAAAGGCCACAGGAGCTTCTTGACGATGTGCTTGCCTTTACTGAGCAGGTCTGGACCGATCGTAGATGAGTTGATAACAGAAATATACCGCAAAGCTTCACTTTGCCATCGTATCGTAGAGGATATGAAGCCTCTCTGGTCCTACGTATATACTACATAGTACTACCCAACGGAAGTACATACCTCGCTATCAAAATGGTATCAGTATGTACACCTCCCAGCTCCGAACAATACCATACATTATATTCCAAGCAGCTCCATAAATTAACACCACCACTACCAATCATCAACTCCCAGCCCACGCCAACCCGACGTGAATCCATAAACCAGCATGCATGCATTAGCATACATCATCCTTCTGCAAGGAGCCCAAACGGGCGACCGTCAAGCTTGCACCATCAGTTCTTGACACAGAAGCGATTCGTTCGACAGAAACAGGAACTAGTACTTTTCTTCTCCGACGCTTCTTCTGGAACCATGCTTCCGACCACGCAAATAATGCCAACCCTGATCTTCCCCTTCCCCCCCCCCCCTTTCGGCGATTGGTTTATGTTCTCTCTGGTCAGCTGTGGAACGAATTTCGCTTCGCGTTCTAGGGTTCAACTAAGGTTGAAGGATGTGGTTTCGGTTGATACAAGGTAGGTAGATAGCTTGTTGCACCAACCGTACTTCTGCTCTACATCGAGTTTATGGCGTATGGGATATTTCTCTTTCTTACTTTCTTTTCTTTTCTGCCGTTTAAATGGTAAAATAAAAGGTCGTTCTTTTTTCAGTTGATATTGTTACTAAGATATATAGTACTTCGTTTCTGGGCGATGGTGATATATACATGTACAGACAACCTTCCCTCCCTCCATACAGTTATGCACACCATACTTACATAAACCCAAAGCAACCACAACCATAAAAGTCCCAGTCAACAACAACTATCCATACTGAGACTTTGACCTACTAATTAGGTACTTAACCCTCCATACTTACTTTACATCCTACCCCCCTCACCATCCCATCTGGAAACCCTCACCAGATGCGGGGCTACGAGAGTGAGAAAAACCAACCCCCACTTCTTATGTTAAACAAGCCAACCATTCCCCATCGGCGGAGCAACCCCGGCAACAATCTGCCTGTCCCTGATTGGTGGGAAGTCACCCACCCCCTCTCAGGAGGGCAACTTAACTCTTCGCCTGGCCATGACTCGATTTACTGTCGGAGGTGGGTATGTGGTGTCATGGATTATGTAGTGAACTACGTCGGTGGTTACTCAGCTTTTTGGAGGAAATTTAAATTTTATTTTGGATGGGAGGGGCTATTATTAGACTTTTGGGGGGCTTTTTGGATATTATATTATTAATATATTATTATTATTATTTTTTGTGCGAGAAATGTTGTTTTATTTCGAGTTATGTTCATTATCAGGGTATGTACATTTAGAGAGCGTGGAGTTGTTGTCGTTCTGATGTAGGGGTGGGAGTTGATAGGGGGATGGTATTATTGGAGATGGAATGGGGTGGTGCAGTTCGAGAGTATAGGAGGATTAGGGATACGGATGGGAGGTTGTGTAAGTTATTACATGACGATTAGGCATCAGGAGATCGTATCCAGGTACGGGAGCAGTATGTCCATCCTCATCCGAGACTTCTGTCTGGAACTACATACTACCCCAGCTCATTACCTAACTTCTAACGGATAAAAGGGGCAAAAAAAGAAAGTGTTAATATCGACTTTTAGAAATGACTTAGTTGGTCCTAGCTAAATAGTAAGGTTAGTTAAATAAAGTAGGGGTACAGCTTACAGGTGACCTCCTGTGTACGGAAGGAGAAGAGAACTATGCACCGAAGACATGGATATGTATGTACATTTACCTTATGATCGAAACCATGTGCCGAGAAACCATTGATTTTCATCTGTGGATGCTTGGGACCTGTTGCCTGGCGCCTGGGAACTTAGTCCGTTTCGGGAATGGTCGGTTCCACAGGGGACAGTTGGCTTTTGGCTGGTTCTTTTTCTCTTTGCATTACACTGGACCTTTCCGGTGACTACTATTATGATCGTATCAACCACACACAGGAGGTTGCAGAATGGATAAATTAGGCTGTAATAAGGCTACAGCTAGATCTACGAAGTTTCAAAAAAAAAAAAAAATCAAATCTATCGGGCTACCTAAATTTGGAGCGCCTGAACAGCCACGGCCTGACACTGCCATGCAGGCTTAGGCCGTACCAAACTTAGTAATGGGGGAAGCAAAGAATCACTACGACTAATCCTCCGGTGGCGTGGGCTGGCAAGATGGCCAAATCCAGAAGCGGTGGTTGGCTGACCACCAGCCTTGACGAGAGCGGTAGAAGGAAACCACTCGAACCAAAATCTTATTTGGCGGCTGGGATGATGTTGCACTGCACTGCGGTCAGCATCTCATCCTGATTCATACTCTTACGTCTTGTAGTCTTTCTTCTAATTTTTATTTAAAAATTTAATAATATTTCCCCCCCTCTCATTTGGCTTGGGATTTATATGGTTGATTGTTATATGTGAAATCAAGGTGTAATCTTACAGCACCGCTGGGACATTATCTCGTAGTACAGCATGGTTGACAGCTTACGTACTGTACGTACTGTCTAAGGCACCTTCTTCATACTGCCGATATCGCGATGGGGAGTGGCCCGAACGAGTCATTTCATTTTGATATGGAGAACCCTAATAGATACAGTACTTGGAGAGCTTTCCTGGAGTGATAGGATAAGGTATCCACTACGATAATCCCAGAATCCCGCGATCTTGATCTGTTAATTGCTATCGATTCTTAAGGGGCCTAGTCCATCAAATCAACCCTTAAACATTCTAGCTTATGATTCTATGGATGCATATACAGTGCGAGGACGGCTCTTTAAGTTCTTGACTACTGCAGAAAGTGACCGTATTGCATGGCCGGGTAACATAACATAGATTGTTTCTATGAATAATTTGCGATGGGGATGATGACAAGTGGAATCAAAATGAATAAGAAATAAGAAGAAAGGATCTACTATGATTTGTCTTTTGATGAAAAAGGAAAAGGCAATAAGAATGAGAATCAAATCAAAATGGAATAGAGGAAAAAAAGCGGATCAAGGGGACATCCAATGCCCAATTCGGGCCCAGAATTCCCTATCTCGGATGGTGAAAGAGTCATACTGTATCATCCGTTCCCGATCATCGTTTCCTGCGCCTTGAACCTCTAAGTACCGCCCCCCGTCTCCGTACTGTATGACTGCTAAACAGGGCTGACTCGACTCTACCTACTCTCTTCTGTCTCCCTTTTCTTCCTACCCTTCCTTTTCTTCCCCCAGTCATCCTTTCTGAAGAAGGGACAGACGGCTTTTTCTTTTACCTTTTGAAGAGTCACGTCTCTCTTTCTTCTTCTGGTTTTGATTCCCATCCTTTATGAATTATTCTCTGTGACTCTTAATATATTTTCCTTTTTTTTTTTTTTTTTTCGTTTTCCCTAATATTATTTTCTCTGCCAATTTCTCTCCGCTCATCCATTTTTCTTCATCTGGCAGAAAAACGTGGTCCCTGCGGTCCGCGCAGTGTCTCGGGTTCCGCCACTCTCGCCACGGTGAGTAACCCATCAAATCTTCTTTTTAGTCACGTTCCCTTCATACCATCTCCTCCCTAGTGCCACTGGCCGAATTTCCTCCTAATCTCGAAATTTCGCCATTTGCCCTCACTTTCATTTCCCTTCCTTTTTCTGCTTCCGGACTGGGTCGCCCCCCCAGTTAGTCATTTTAGTCTACCGCTCCGCCCTCCGAAGAAATAGGCAGCCCAGAAGGAGTCATAGGCATAGAAAACTGGAGACGTCCATCATTGCTGACTGTATTCCTTCGCCATCAGACTAAGAGTCAACAGTCGCCTCTTAATAAGAGCCTCTGGACAGACAGCTGACTGCCTGGTCAAGCATCAGTCTACATCAGTGTAACTGCCTGCTTGCTAACAGTCTGCCGTCGTAGCGGCTCTTTTCCATAACTTTCTGATACTCCCTAAAGTCTCAAGATGTACCCTGTTGTTACGAAATACATTGTTCCGGTCACCTGTGTTGCAGAATCCTCCGCCTTTGATCTCCGAAAGTCCGACAAGTCTGTTGCTCTCATCTAGAACTTGGAAAGACTCATACAGCACCTGTCGTCTTGAAAGTCGCGTGGACCCGATACATATTTCACTACGTGTATCCTCTCTTACGTTACTTCGGCTGATCTGCTCTGGAATCTACCACCGGTGATCGGGACTTAAGTTCTTGTTTGCGCCTACCCTCGATCCTCCTAACACCTCACACACGACCCTCATTCTCACCTTCCGATATACGTCTCGATCCCTACCCTATCTACCTAAACTTCCTCGATATTTAACTACGGTTGAATGATTTGATCCCTTCCGACCTATCCGCCCTTTCTTGATACCCATACACTCTGGCGAATTCTCTTTCGAAGGCCTGCCGTCGCCTGTGAATAAAAGACGGTTCTTGTCTTACTAGCGTCTCGTTAACGGTTATTGCACAACGGTATATTGATTTTCTCACGGTTTTTCTTGAACGAGCGCACCTTGTTGTATCCTAGTTGTGGATTACTTCCCCCGGAATATGACAGGGATTGACGTTTTGGGTTTGAAGGAACCAAACCCTAGTGTTTCATACAGAGCGTCGTATGCGCACCCCTACGCATCGTCGATTTCTTCCTCCGCATCTTCGTCTTCGTCGTCGGTGTTCTCTCTGGATGGGCTGTCTGCTCACAGCTCCGTTTCCTCCACCTCGACGAATTCGGTTGATGTCATCTGGGAAAATGACGGTGAATACCAACCAGCAGGAAGGGGACTGGGCCCTTCGCGCGCGCCCTTGAGGGGTAACGCTCCCAAGGCCGCGGACGCGGTCGTTCCTCCAGAATTACGTAAGCATCCGCGGCGTACCAACAGCGGTGCCCAGTCCAACGGCGTGTCCTGCACACGGCCTCCGCCCTGTCTGCTGCGTCAGTCGGAGCGGAAGGTGAACTTCGTCGATAACCTCGTCGGTAAGTGCAGTCGGATATTCTCGGGGATGATCCCATAGCTGAAGATTTTCTATCAAGACACCGCGTCTCAGATCGTGGAAACCATCTGGCCTCTGTCCGCAGTAGCGCTCCGAAGTGATTCAACCACGGGGTGTAAAGGGGTCTTGCCTCTCCGCACCTTCATCCAGGAGACGCTCCGCCGATCCCGGACCAGTTATAGCACGTTGCAAGTGGCTTTGTACTATCTGGTCAAGATCAAGCCACATGTGCCTAATCCCGATCTAGCCCATGATCAGACTCCGGGTAAGCCAGTCTGCCGGGCCATGCAGTGTGGTCGACGCATGTTCCTTTCTGCCCTGATCCTCGCCTCCAAATACCTCCAGGACCGTAACTACTCCGCCCGCGCTTGGAGCAAAATCTCCGGCCTGAATACATTGGAGATCAATCAGAATGAGTTGATGTTCCTCCAAGCCGTGGATTGGAAACTGCACATTCCGGAAGCCACCTTTCAGCGATGGACGGATATCGTGCTCAAGTACACTCCTGGTGCTGGTGGTATGCCTGCCGAAGGTCAAACTTGGCGGACGGTCCTTCCCAGACTGACTCATGAGTTGGAAGAAATCGACTTTGAGCCTATGACTCCATCAAGTATGGAGGGTTCCGATTCCGGATCGGCGACCGGCTCGCCGTCTCCCCGTGGTACGTCCATGAGAGGAACTTTCCTTCCTACTTTCGCAAGTGAGCCCTCCATTCTCCCATCGGAGACATCTGTATATAGACGAGCTTCCACAACTCTTGAGCAAGCTTCTCGAGTCGACAGCTTCAATGCTTCCCTGCCGTCGATACCACGGCTTCCTGCGTTGCCTACCCCGCAGTTGACCCCCCAGGCGAGTATGGCCTCCACTCCTGCCGCGAGTGCTGGCTCTTTCTCTTCCCATCGGCGTTACTTCTGTGCTGCCATGTCCCAGGCGCAGAACATGTGTATGGCGCGGTCGACCCTCGACCAGCGCCCGTCACTTCCGTTTTGCCCGAAGACAAGTACGTTTGATGGGTACCCAACTATGGTACGCCGGTCTTCTTTGGCTCGCTCGACCTCTTCTGCATCTTCGCCGGATTCGATGGTTTCCGATGTGTCAACTCTGTCCTCCAACTCGTCGCGGTCTTCCTCCATGTCGTCGAATGCATCGGGGCCTGTTTTGCCCCGTCTGGCTATTCAGGCAACCCTTCGATGCACAAACAACTCTTTGAAGGAGAACCGGAGACCTGTGACGATTGCGTCACCTATCGATGAGAGTTCCTACAATGATATCTATCATTCCCCCGAAAGCTTTGCGCGGTCTACTGGGAATGTTCCAGACTTGTCTAAATTCTCGCTGAGAACTCCTGTTGATATGACGTCAGCTCATGAGGCCGCTCAGAGCCTCTGTGCATTGTCTGGTTCCATGCCTCGTACTTCCCAGAAGATTGAGCAGGGCGGAAGCCAGCGCCAGTGTCGGAAACGTGGCCGCGCTGGATCTGATGATTTTGCGTTGCAGAACCATGTGCGTCACCTGGTTCATTCCAATACCATCAGTGAGGGTGCTGTGCTACCTGATGGAAACATGTCTGATTTGTTCCTGAACGCTGGGCTTCGACGTACCCAATCCCTCACTGCCGCCCAGCTGAACGCTCTGAATTACAACGCTCCACTTTCTGGACCCGCAGGCATGAAGCGTGCGTGCTGTGGTAGTGAAGCGAGGAAGATTGCACTGAACCCCAGCGTGCGAGCGGACTACCTGGATTAGACTCGCTATGCCCAGGATGGAACTTTACTTATGCAGTGGACAGGCGCGCCCCTTGTTTCTTTTCTTTTCTTGTTTGTAGAAAGGAAAAGTTATTGTTTATTGCATAATATTCTTATCAATCCTTCAACTCGTCGACCGAGTGATCCTTGATTTAGCCTCAACGCCGACAGAGGCAGGAACGCAGACTTCCGGTGGGAAAAGTTTTGTGTGAACTTTATCTCAGGTCTTCTTTTGTCGGGAAAAGATCCTTTCTCGTCTTGTATATACCCTGGTGTTGGTTGGATTTGGTTGGAAGTTCTGTGACGGCAGTCTGCGTACCCCTCTGTCAGGTGCAGTGGTCCTGTAACTCGCAGACCACTGATGTATGATCTATGACGGGGAGGTTCTATCACCATCTTTTTACCATTTACTTTGTTTACATTTATCGTGGATATTATTACTATCATGAACTGGAGTGTGCGGCAATGGCAGGGTTTTTCTCTTTTTTTTTGTGCTTTGTTTCTTTGTTGTTGTGATCTCGGTCGACGGTGTAGCGGTGGATTCTCAAATGTCCTGAAATACATATCTTATTACACTGAGTTCATTGGCAGACTACTTAAGAAGTGTGAGAGTTGTAGTCAGAATGTTAGGGCTTCGGTGTGGCTGCCTTCCTTTGCCTTAGGCCATCTTAATATGTACATATCCGATCGTGACACCTCATGCAAGCGGACAACAAAGCCATGGTTCCCACTAGCCCGCTGCCGCCACCGATGTTCTCACGCGAGGCAACGGCCTGACTTGGTCTCGTGATAGGTGTCATGAGTCACTCGAAACAGTTCTTTGTGGTTCGGTGAGCATCTGACGATCGGGTGGCGCTCTGAACTATCGGTGAGTCACGGTGATACATGGCAGCCTGAGGCAGGTGTCAACGTCGGAGTGTGCCGGAACCCCCGGAGGGAGTCGGATTCTGCGCTAGTCATGCGAATAGCAGATTTAACCCTGTTAGGTTCTAGCGTGATCAGATAAGATCAGATCCAACCTTGAACGTTGTTCCAGTTCCCCTCAGTCACCGTTCATCATCAGACCATCCGGAGTTGCGATGCGAGGGGAGCATTCCTTGGCGTAGCATCTTCCTCTTTAATGCCTCCCTTACCTAACAAGCTCCTACTTCTGTCCTAAATCTTCACTCCCCAGACCCTACTTCTTCCTACATCCAAGGCGAACGGCTCACCATGAAGGGTCTTAGCCAAGGTCTTGCCCTCGTCTCCACACTAGCTCTGCTCTTCCTCCAAGGTACGGCGGTTCCCCTCTCAACTGCAGCGGATGCCTCTCCCGGCCAAACAGTCTTAGGCGACCTTAACAGCCTGCCCTCCACTCCCGAAAACAATGTCGACCGCAACAATATCATCACAGCTACCGAGAACGACCCCGAGGCGGAAACCGCACCATCATGGTTCACCTCCACACTGATGGCCCGCCGACTCCTCGCCCTCTCAACCACGGGCGTCGCCTCCACCATCTTCTCGGACTCCTTCGCAGAGAACTCCCACACCCCAGCCGCCGTAGCCGGCCAGTCCATCAGCCTGAAGGAATACATCTCAGACTGCGATGAAGCCCTCCCCCCCACAAGCGGCAACGGCGGAGACGGCAACCCAACCTTCCTCGCCCTCCATGTCGCAACCACTTTCCGCAACACCGCCGCAGGCTCCAACATCAGCGTCTCTATCGACTGGTGGGACCATCTGAACGAGACCGAGCCCCTTTTCCCCGGCTTCCCGCTCAGTCCCGCTGGTCTCCCCCGCGTGACGCTATTCGGGTACATCGAGCCCTTCTCGACTCCCATGCCGGAGGATACGGAGGCTGCTCTTCGGACTTGCTATCTGAAGGCCCACCCGGATGCCCAGGTGTGGTTGCCCGGTAGACGTAACTCTCCCCATGCGAGCTTCTGGGCTCGGATGGTTGTCACCCAGGTTTATTGGATCGGGGGCTTCGGTGGGTTTCAGCAGATTGGGTGGATGAATGTGACTGAATGGAAGGGTATTCGGAGGGGGGAGAGTCTGCCTGGTATTGGAGATGGGCGGGGCTGGCAGGATGTGAGACTCCCTGGGGAGGAGAGTTATTAATGATGGTTGTTGTGTCGCTGTGGGGTAACTTGCGAGCTGCTGGTGGCTTGTGTTATTTTACTGTCAGTGTGTGCATTTTAAGTAATGGGATGGGATGTGCGGATTGATATGGAGAATGGATGGTTGGATGGGATGAGGTTACGTTGCATGAATGGATATGAGCCATATGCTTATACTTTTCTATCCTGTATCATGGTCCTAACATAGTTTTAAGATTGTTATCGCAGGACGCCTTATATGCTTGGTTTTATGACATGTCTATTTATCTCCTCTGCAGGAGAGATGATAGTAGAAACTCAAACCACGTCAGCGGTCTAAACTAACCTGTATCGTCCTACGCTGACCCCTTGTTCTTTTACCGGCCACCTGAACAAGAGTTCACTTTTCTTTCCCTACTTATCCTTAACGCTCTATTTAGAGATTGAACCTACCCCCCCATAATCCGGAAAAACTAACCAAGTCATTGAGAATGAGGCTGACAAAGACTAGTCACATCATGCCTAATCTTTGCCGCTTCTCCCACACTGGCTCAAAAACCTCCGAGGAAACGTCTTGATGGTGAATGAATGGTTTGTTATCGTAACTGACCCGCTCTCCATGGAAGCTGTCGGGTCTTTATATTCTTGCTTTTTTATTATTGGGTTTTCACGGTGTCACTGTGGTGTCACTGTGGTGTCACTGTGGTGTCTATGTTGTAGTTCAAATGAGATGTAGTGTGACGGTATTGAAAAGTGTTTGCTGCTCTGTCTCGTTTTGGTAATAGAGAATGGTATTAGTGTTGAAGGAGCTTCGTATACTATTAATAGATCACAGAGACGTTCCCAAAGATCAATCAGACTACGTATTCTTTATATTCACGTATTTATGAAATGTGCTGTTCTGTTTATTCTAGGTCACTCTGGGTAAGTATATGTGGAGCGGATATTCGTTCATCCCGAGAGATAGAGAAGTTCACTTGTCTTCTCTGCCACATCATCACATATTAAAAATTATAGTAAGTAGTACAAAACTATATATATACCGATATTGTATATACAACAACAATAATTCAAGATCCGCCAAGACCTTGGGTTAATAAAAAGGAACCGTGGATATGAATTGACTGATGCCGAGATGACGTTTGGAGAAGGTGGGGTATTCTTTCTGTAAATTAAATCATACCTCGGATACTTTTTAAACTCTTCATCCCCTCTGTAACTACCTTCTGAATACACTGAACTTGACTATCACAAAGTCTTGAAATCAAATCGTTCTATCTCAATTCATTGTGCGTTATAGTCCTTAACTAGATATGTTGTATAAACAGCTTCTAACATCCCCTTGTCGAAGGTTCCTCCTCTCGTCGGTTAAAACCCCGCCCTCCACGTTTCGCCCAATTCATTGCTCCTCTGCCGCCATGTCGGGTGTTAGCAAGGCCTGCTGCTCGTAAGTCTCTCTTCTATCCCAAAGTAATCACTATAGGATCCATACTAAAACTCCACAGTATCCCCCCCATTGTCCCAAAGAACTATCAAGCCAAGGGCGAATACAAGACCCTCAATGGCCTCAAGACATGTACAATCGTCCCACCCCAATTCCACAGCCAAACAAAACACCTCTCAAACTAACCCAACCTACCTGCCCATAGACGTAACTGGCCCCGAAAACGCCTCCAAGGCCATCCTGGTCATCTACGGTACGTAAAAACCACCCTCCGTCCCACCCCGCCCCAAAACCAACCCACACCCACTAATCAAAAACACTAAAACCAAAAGACATCTTTGGCTTCTTCGACCAAACCATCCAAGGAGCCGACATACTCGCCACCGCCAACTCCCAAAAATACCGCGTCTTCATGCCCGACTTCTTCGAAGGCCAGCCAGCCGACATCACCTGGTTCCCCCCCAAAACAGACGACCACAAGCAAAAGCTAGGCAACTTCTTCCAAACCAAGGCCGCGCCCCCCACCACCCTCTCCAAGATCCCCGACGTGGTGGCCGAGGCCAACAAGCTCGCACCGGCCGGCGGTAAGTTCGACTCCTGGTCCATCTTGGGCTACTGCTGGGGCGGCAAGATCACGGCTCTGGCCACGGGTAAGGAGAATCAGATCTTTAAGGCCGCTGTGCAGTGTCATCCGGCCATGCTGGATCCGAATGATGCCAAGGGGGTTACGGTCCCCATGGCGGTTTTGGCGTCCAAGGATGAGAAGCCCGAGGATGTGAGGGATTTTGGGGCGAACTTGAAGATGGAGCATTATGTGGAGACTTTTGCGAGTCAGATTCATGGGTGGATGGCTGCACGGTCGGATTTGGAGGATGAGGGGGTGAGGAAGGAGTACGAGAGGGGGTATAGGGTTGCTTTGGATTTTTTGCATAAGCATGCTTAGTTAAGTGGTGATGAGGTGGTTTTGTCTCGTGGATATGGAAGGAAGTGGAGAATGGATGGTGTATATGGTTTATTCTTTCGTATGATATCGGGCTCTGTCCATTGGTGTGATATACGTACGGTCTGGCTACCCAGCTTTAATACCGCAATATATGGCGGTCGATAGGCTGGCGTAATGGTAGAATGTCACCGAGGTAGCGGTTGGGTTAAGGAAAGTTAATTCTTCTGAAACCTACAGTATTAAAAACCCGATTGCTGGTATATATATTGCTTCTAAGACACTCACCAAAGAAAGTCTAGAGTTGGCTTATCCTATCTTAAGGTAGGATTAGGTTTACTGTAGTTATATATACTAGGATATAGTGATTGAAATATTGAAATATTAAATTAAGATAAAGTTGAGTAGTATGATCTTTAACCTGACCTCGGTATAAGAGATTCAGTAATAAAAGGGATCTAGACTAATATGAAAGAGTCCTCTAGTGTATAATAGGTTGGAACTAGAGGTGATAATAGTATACGGACATGTTAGATATATCAGGTTTCTGGGCTTCGAGAGGCACCCCGACGTCTAAACATAAACACATAGATTGAAGCGACCGGCCTTTGGCGGCTTTAAAACACTAAGGTCTATCAGTGGCTTACTACTTTTTCGGAAAAAAAGAAGAAAATAATAATAATAAAAAAATATAGGTGCTAATCCGAGCTCACTGAGCGGCATAGCACAGCCATTTGCGGGAGGCGAGCTAAATCAGGTATGTACAAGTACTATCGACGGATCAATCAATCAGTCAGATGGAAAAAGTAGTGCAAAACACATATTATTTGGTGTAAGGTATCTTCATGATATTAAGATAGCCGCCGTAAAACGACGTAAGAGCCTGCACGCCATAGAACTCTCCCACCCGATCACATAAAGACATCCGAAGCCAAACCCGGCAAAGAAACACACCAATTTACCCTACAGACCATACACCCGATACCCACCTTAGAACGCCGCCTGGTGCAAAATGCTAAGAGCAACGGACGAGTGGCTATCCCTTCAGTCGACTTGGCTTCACCAACGGCAAAACCCATCCACCATTCGGTGAGCAGCCTGATCGTGGTCATGTCTTCTTGTGTCATATCGTACAGTTTTGTCTTGCGGGTTATGAGATTCTTGCCGTTAAAAATAGGTCTCCAGTACACAAAGTTGGTGTGGGCCTATGATGGAATATAGCATGACCTGATTGAGAAGTTCCATTAATAGAGCCCTAGTCATGGGATGTGGTGTAGACAAAATCTGTGAAAAAGTGGACACACTTACAGGAGCCATCATGTGAGGACGGACGGACTTTTGTTTTCAGCTGAATGGTCGATCGTCTCCCACGAGAAGCCCGATCTCCAGGAGACATTTCATATGGGGTAATGGCTCATCAAATGCTCGAGCATGTTAGGGACACTTGCCAGTGGTGGTTGTTTACTCCAGCTAGGGTTCCGGAACCGAGATTTATCATCCTAATAGACGATTGTTTAGTAGGGCTCAAAATGGCGCCCAGATGGGTGTGCATGCCCCTTTTAGAGAATGCAATTATGCTTATCATTGTGTTTTAGGAATGACTGGCCGACACAAGCTTCCACGCAATAATGAAAACCCAATATATTGAAACTAGAGTTTCCCCTCTACTGTCGTAGGCTAGATAGCCGTCTTCGACTAAGAATACATATTAGCCCTAGTATAGAATAGAAAAAGTAGGGTTTGTCGAGCTCCGATTCTAAAGACATAGAGCTCTGTTGAATACCTGCCTTTTCGGCGTCATGTTGGTCGATTTGATCTGTTTCTAGCTGGCAGATTGTCTTCTTGATTCTTCGGAACATAGAACGATAGTGCGTGCGCACTTCAACTGCTCTTTTCACTTTCTGGGGTTTTGCATGATGTATTGGCGAAAGGACTTAGTGGAAAGAATGAAGTTGAAGACTAATGGAAGTGAAGAAGTGAAGGGAGTAAGTACATAGCGTTCCAGGTTATTAAAATGACCGGTGGGGTTGCGCCGCAACGACAACACCAATTGGCGTATAACTTTATAGTTGCCTTTTATAGAACCGATTCTTCCCCCAGCACTTCTTCTTGCCTAGATAACTGTATATTCTTAAAACGCCCCCTATCCTTATTTGTTTAATAATTTTGAAAATGAATGTGCCCCTCTTGTTTGGAAGTCATGTGGCTAAAGGGCTTGGAGGTCAATGCGTTGCTATTGAACCTAGCCACAATCTATATTATCCTCATCCAAATCGCTTACCGGCCGGTGCAGGTAAAAAGTGAATGGACGGGGTAAAGGGAATGGGAAGGAGACATTGCGGACAAATCCGAAATAAGAAACCCTTCTTCTTCTCTCACTTACCCCTCGTTGTTGTCGTTGTTACTTCCCTCCTATATTTTATTATCATATCAGATTGGACCCTACGGCTTGCCCTTACATACTACAGTGATGGAGTTTCAACAGCCTTACAATCCAGCGCATGGGTCCAAGCGGTCAGGCAAGGAAAGGTGGAGAATAAGACAATACATGATATTGATCTCAATTCGGCTTCAGCCATACGAGACGAGCAATACTTGATGCTTCGCGTCCTGTGGAAAACGCAAGGTTTTCGTAAACTCGATCGCGCGAAATTTGGCCTGGGCGAATGGATAAATAAGGCAGCCGATTTGTTAGCGCCGTAAGACTCGGGGACTGCCTACCTTGAGAGCTTCTCTAGCGAAGCGAAGGAAGGGTCGTTTGCATTGTCTCGGTTCTATCAAAAGTAGGTTGCCCATATCCCATCAGATGTTATATTCCGACCTATTGTTTCTGTCAGTCTTCCTCGTACACGAGGACAGCTGAAGAGCATAGCGGCGGGTAGCGAAAAACTCTCGTTTGACGTACCCACTGAGCCACTAAGCACGCGCATAGTCAAGCCAGAGGCTGAGTCTGATGATTCCTCAGAGGAGGACAGTGCCACTGAGGACACCCCACCAGGAGAAAGGTCACACGGATCCCAGGAGCTCCAAGATCTAAACTACCCAAGGACCAAAGATGAGCACATTGTCAATACAGTCCTGAATGTCTTTCTAAATGCCTTTATTATCCACTAATACTTTGGCTCTTATTGGACACTGTATCGGAAACCTGTTGTGGCCAGTTTTGTATGTGGCTTATTCGAAGCTCACACTGATGGGTGCCTCGAAGGCAAGAACTGGAAGACTTATGCAATTGTGGTGGTAAAGCCGATGCTGAGGAAAACGCGAAGAGCACGCATTTTAAAGTAGGAAGCAGCTCAAATAGTTGCCTGGATCAAGACTGAATCAGATCCTGATGGCTTTATAATTAGCCATAGCCGGTAAGTTTCTCTATACCATCTGTTCCGTCCTATATATACTGATAATTTAGTCATGTTCTAATATCCCAAGACCGACATGATATCTTACATCTGCTGAGAACAGCGAGAAACTACATCAAGTACTCAAACAGCACACTGAATAAGGATGAATCACCTGGGTTACTAACCCTCTATGAATTTGGGCCTTGGGATACTACCAAAGTTGGCGACATGAAAGATCTATGCCCCATCTTGCTCGCAATTGCTCTGAGGGCAGAGATGGAGGGTGAGGAAAAGGGCATCTAAAGAATAAACCAAACGCCTCACAGGTAGCTTGACTTGCAGCTGATCTGCCTACATAGCTCCCCTAAGACTTATGAGATATGGAATGGAGAGGGCGATAAGGCATTGTGTATTGAGGTGATTCATACTGGTGTTCCTAGATCTGATCGAGCAAGAAAACGACGACTTTAATTATCTATGGCTATCCATGAGATCTTGATCGATAGAAGGACGAGGGCATATAGTATCCATATTATAGTACCCGAGGAAGATTGCCAGAATATCATGCGATGGTGGCCTAAGGTTCCTACCGTATCAGGCAATATCAAATCCGCCGGCCCGTGGTTTGCCCGACGTCATCGACTTGTCACTTCCACCATTTAAACTCAACCTTTTCTTCCCTTTGCTTATAATTTCCCATTTTCGCTACATTCTATACAATGGATATTATTTTCCTAATCGCTACTTTTAGTGCTCAGTCATTCCCTATATGAATAGGGGAACCTGCTTGACTCTCAGTTTCCACGGCTTGAGATTTGCTTATCTTTGGGCGGCAATGTATAGCCGGCTTACCTCGGCATGCCGAACAGTTAGACAATTTCTTTCCCAGTTACCATAAATCTAGACATACGCTTCGAAGAGCAAGAGATAATGTCATTCTTTTTCGGCCGTCGGCATTCCCTCGCTGGCGCGTCACCAGAGAGCGATGGCGTGCCTAGAGATCCGAACCTGAGGCTGAGAAGAAGAGCGTCAGTTCCGAATGTACCAACTCAGAGTCGGAATGTTCACGACAGACGCATGTTACAAGATCTATTTCGGAGGCATCGAGATTCTTCCGAGACAGAAGCGTCAACAGAGAGGGGTCATGATGTTGTAAGCTGAATTTCCTAGTTGGCTTCTTTCCTTGTGTCAAAAAAACATTTCAACTCAAGTTTGAAAGTGTATCTAATTGTAGTAAATACAGAGTCATGCAAATTCCCCAAATGCATCTACAGAAAAAGCTACGAAAGACCAAACGGGGCCTCGGAGCTCTACACAGGCGCATGAGCCACGTGGAAAAGAGAACGATCACGAGGGTAGACCTCATGTTACACCGTCATCTAATTATTTGCTCAGCAAAGAAGACCTTGAGGCTCTTTTCTCTGGCGCTCCATTCTTTCTCCTCGAGAGGGGCAACTATGATCATCACTATCCACAAGTCATCTTCCCGTTCGATGACCACGACCCCACCATTCAGAATATGTGGGACAGAAAGCCACTCTCCCATCCATCTTTTATTGTTTGTACGTTGCACGCTCATCTCCCTATTCCTGACAGGTGGGTGAGTACCAAGGAATCCCCAATTCATCTGAACAGTTGGCGAAGGGCTGGAGGCTCTAAAAGAGCGACTTTCGACATTGGGATATTCGAAGTGCCAAACATGCTATCGATGAATGGAAGAGATCCAGGAGCGATTGGATTTCGTCATTTTGTGGAGCTCCCGGTTGCGGATGCTGTGCGCTATCCTGAGAGACCAAAGTCTAACCTGGATTATCTGCAACTTTCCTCGATGCCCGCTTCGCAGGTCTATGAGCTAATGGAACATTACCATGACATATATACCATGTCGGGGGGCGCCGGGTATGATCGAAAACGGCTACTCTGTGAGGGACCATCTGCCTGGAAAAAGATTGGTGTGCGAGATATCAATTTACAAAGCTTGGTAGAGCGCCTGCGGACGTTGACAGATCTTCGTCGCGAAATGTTACATGGGAAGAGAGAAGCAACGATCCTTGATACCGAGTCTGAGCAGGATTTGTACAGCGACCTATTCACTAAATTTCTCTATCCTCCTCCCAAGCCTCTGCTCGCGGATGCTGTCATGTCTCACAGTCTCAAAGCTCAAATCAAGGCTCTGACAGTAACCCTCGCCACAAGGGGTGCATGGGTGGACTTCAGTCTTCCCGAGTGGCGTTTGTATGCAGGACAGTTGCTGTGGGAGGCCGGTCCACATGCGGATGGCGATCTCTTAGACCCTACTACGTGCTCGAAACCTTGGATGCACCCAACGATTGAGCGTAGATGGCTCCTTGTCCAGATGCTCCTTGCTGCCGAATTGCTTCTACGTCTCGATGCTACTGTTAGGGTGGGGATTCTGGATAATTCCAAGGCGTTACATATCACCGCCAAGGATGTAGATGATTTCGAACACATACGGGATGGAAAAGTAGATTGGGACCTGGTAGCCGTGCGGCGTTTTATGGACACCTTCGACATCAGCTACAAGGCTGACGAACCTGATCAACTTGATTTTGACCCCATGATACCAACAAGTCACCCGTGGGGTGAGAAGAATCATGAGAAGAACCACCATTCTTTCTTTGAAAACCTGCTCCACCGATCATTGTCCGGTTCACCCACTGAGTCCATCGAGTCAGCCTGGAGATGCAGTTTAGTCCCAACATTCCTCGACCAACAGCTCCAAGGATTGTTTGCGTTCGCTGAGGAGATTGACTGGCCAGGACTTGATGCACTGAAAACGCGTTTGCATTTTGTGATTGGAGGGGGCCAGATGGGGGCAGCCATCGCCGATGCGTTCAATAAACCTGTGCGCAACGCGCTACCAGCTAAAGCCGGTGGGCCCCTTAATAAGGAAGAAATGCATACCAGAAGCTTATCTCGCCGGCGTATAGCTCTCCATTGCTCCAAATATCAGGCGGATTCTGTGCAACTTGGTGGCTGGATAACCCGAAGCTGGCTATCCGGATTTGTATTTCCCGGAGAGCAGATCAGCCACCTACTAATGGCTACAGTACTGGAAAATGACTCAGATGCTATGGCGAAACTAGGTCCCATTGCAAACCTCTACGGCGGATTCGCGTACAAAGGGAAGACCTGGTGGAGCAAAGAGTGCATTGTTGGCCGAGTCCTGGCAAGCGTGGAAGACACCAAGGAATGCTTAGGATGGCTGAGAAGTCCGGTTGTGCCTAAAGATGCTTGGACAATCCAGTCGCTGGACGATACGTGGTTTGAGGTTCCTGTGCAACCGGCTTTGGTGCTTTCTGGAAAACCACGCATCCAACAGGGGAAGAAAATGGCCATGGAATCGACACCACTCGGGCGTGGCGACCGGAGCAGTGGCGCATTCTCCTTGCCGTTGGACGCTCCACCAGAGAAATATCCGAAGACGAAAGTGAGCTTCGAGGCGTTGACATTCTCTGGAAAAGGTGGTCAAGCACTGAAAGGCACGCCACATCTGATGGCCGACAGGGTTTTCATGACCTTTTCGGTGGCTTCAGATACAATGGACTTACCCAGGAAAGTCTCCTTCCAATTGAGGTACAACGTCCGGTTTATCACGTCTCACGAATGTCGCCCGCCGGGCAACTTCACATCGTATCACAGCGCATGTCCCGCTGGGAGTGGAACATCGTCACCGTCCTCCAGCAGTTCAGGTGCGAGACACCATCGTCTCCCAGGCCATCCTCTCCTGAGCGCATACTTATATAAACATATAACGCTTGAATCTCTTCCCAACTGCCATACTCCTGACGACACTTTCCTTGAAGGTGATCACTACAAAAAGCACGAAGTGCTCATTGTTGACGCGCGTGGCGGCCACGAGAGGGAAACGTTCGCCCGAGCATGGTGTGCTTCCATTGGCTATAACGCCATCATTGGCAGAGTTGGCCGGACATGTCTAGCGTGCTGCATTAGAGAAGCCAGAGCCATTAGTGTAAAGGTAGTTCTGCGCGTGGACGCCTGTGTCAGCCGATCCTTGTCTCCTCCAACATTGCCTGGCTTGAAGGAGATCTGATAAGTTCATTATCATTTACTTCGCCGCTGATGTCTGAACTCCTATCGAATAGGGGGAACCAGGCCATATCATATCGGAGATTTTTTGGGGTATATATATCTGTATTACAATAAGAGGCCTGTCTTTAGTTTTTTTTCTCTTTCTTCTTGTTTTGCATCCGCTAATGGAACTATTTTCCAAATAAGCTCACACTTGACTCAAGTATCAGGTCAACCATGAAACAATTGAACTTTACCAGAAGACCCAAAAAGGGGAAAACAACAACAACAGCAACCTAAATATTCCCCCCTTTATACCCAATTCTCAGAAAAGAGTTATAGATGAATAATAAAAAATCCAAACCAACCCAATCCTACATTTACCAAAACACACCCCTTCAAACCTCCAGGTCTAGATAAAACAAACCCCCTCTTCCCCCCAAGAAAACCAACCCAACCAACGACCCCCAAAAGAACCAAAAAACAAAGCAAAGCCAGTCCACGTAAAACCCTCCCCCACTCCCGCTATTTTCCCACACGCAGAGCATCGCCGTATCGAGTCAAGTGTCCGAGCATTGGTGAAACGACGAAGGATCAAGCACTAGACTGTTTCGGGAGGTGATTAGCCGAGTTTGTTTGGGGGTCTGTTTTGGTTTTGGGTATAGGATTTGTTTGGTACGCTACGGAGGGATTGATGCGGTATCTACTAGTGAGAGATTGGGTTTGGAAGGGGACGTGTAGGCTTGAGGGTGTGGGAGTTTCTAGTATGTATAGTTGTTATCGAATGGTTCTGGGAGTGTGGTTCAGTAAACAATTATATAGTGCGGTGGGAGGAAGCGCACTGTTGGTGTTTCTTTCTTTTTCTGTTACACATCCTTGACTTAGATGTTTGGCTGTATAACTCTGGTTTTCTTGGTCAATTGGTAACCTGCCTAGGCGGAATGCGAGGCGGTGGGTGGTTAGTGAATGAAGCAGCGTATAAGTTCTAGGGAATATTGCCCCTGATATACAAACGGCATGATACCCGGTTCGCCGTATAGATAGTCCAGAATAGTACTTGTAGAGTGGTCCTTTAGGATCGGTTTATAGAATCGTGGGTAGAATCAGACCCTGGCCATATCCTATCCTCATAAATTGTACAGGTTCCATTGTAATGGGTCTGCAAGACTGATTAGGGTTCATAGTGATTCTGGGTCGGGGTGATCTCTTTCAGCGCCCCCGCCAGTATTTGATCTATGAGCTTCCGGTATCCGTAGTTACGTTGATGGTCTCGCCTGGATAGCCCCCTTTTCAGGTAACGCCAGGAATTAGATATGAAGTGGTCTAGAGACGAGGCACAGTCTGTCCTGTGGCATCTGCATATCCAGGTTAATTCTACATCAGATTGTCCATACTTGTCTTAGTTCACTGGATAGAGTGTACGAACCTTGGTTTACATTCATTTAGAGTTTGTTCATGGATACTTGACGAACCGATTGTATTTAAGAGAGCAGAAGTCGTTTTTACAGATGGAGTGGATACGGATATGTGAATGAAGATGCCTAATCAGGCAGAAAAATTCGAACAGTCCCACAACAACACAAAAGGTCCAACGAGAGAAAAGACGCAACGAAGCGAAAACAACAAGTTTTGAGGCAGTCACACTTGACTCAGTTATCTATTTAGTCGTACCATCGCAGGTACGGATATTCTTTCGTAATTCATGAAGGAGAAAAAGCTCCTCGTATGTTGTTGCCTGGATACTGCCCGATTTCTATTAGGAAGCTAAGAGAAAAAAAAACTCACTTGTCTCGAAGAAGAGCTGCTAGTTGGCGTCCAATCATGCGTATAGGTTTTACATCAATATTTCTGAAAGTAGGCGTCAGAATAGCTCTCTCGGCCATGGCACCGTAACATCGGACCGATAACCCTGTTCAGTTGCTTTCAATTAGTTCAGAGTCTTAGACTAGTCTGCAGGGCATGATTCAAATCCCGGTCCGGCTGGAATGAATCAGATAGTGCTCGACGTTGACGCTTTAACAACTGCACAGGAATAGACTAGAGACACTATATCCTCGGCAGTCGTCTAGGAGAACAACCGATCACGGCTTTTACTAAATTGAAAACGGGGAACTTCGTTTATGAACTAGACGTGCTGGATACGGACCCTCCCAGAGTGGAGATCTCGCCGAAGCTCTGAATCCGAACAATAGGCGATAAAATTAAGCTGACACTAGACTCGAGCCGCTCGATTGATCCAGGGTGCAAGACATAATAATAATAGTTAGTCCCTGAGGCGGGTAGTGCCGCTGGCTTCGTTCCTGTTTGGGTATAGTTATTATGGACGATTATAGAGCTTGATTTTATTATTTGAAGACGTCTAGATCGCTGAAGAAAGACGGAGGAGAGTCATACACTGGCGGAAAATGGTGTTGAACAGGGGGTTTGGAATTACGGAAGAGCGTCACGTTAGACGATTGATAGATGATTGGCCAGTGAGGTGGCAAGATGGGGTAGAGCTCATTAGTATTTAGACCGCATGTACGTATACATTCCCATGCGGTTTGGTTGGTCCTTACTCAAATTAGAACAGACATGAAGGATGCGCGACGCCAAGTTCATCACTCATAAGATGCGCGAATAATTTTGCTTTTTATCTCGAAAGGTAGAATGTCCGTTTCGATCTGGGAGGTCCGGATACCGCGCCTAATAGGAATGTGATATGGTGATGAACCAGGAATGGTGGTTCGCACCCCTAAGACGATCCTTTGCCGATCCACATGCTATGACAAGCATGTACAAGCCTCCAGAACGGCCCTAGAAGCCCCCCGGAGGAAATTGAGAAACCATGGAAAAAGGAGAGGTAATGTATAAACTATAATTTATTCGGTAGTTAGCTCCGAAGGCGAGGTTGATTTTCACAATCGATCATTTACTCTTTTTGCTTTCCCAGGGTGAGAATGGATGATATAAGGGGCTAGAAGAGTACCACTCCTTATTTACCTTCCGTTCCCTTAAACTGGAACTTGGCAATAAGATCGTTTGGTTGGTTTACGGAGAAGTCCGTCTTTTTGAGTAGTTGTCAGTTAGGGTTCATGGAGTTTGATCGGACTAAAAAACTACCGCTGGGGAGGCATGTTCCCGAGGGAGCCAATCAGAAGCGCCAGGGAACATTTATCCTCGGAGAATTTTTGGAGTTAAGCAGTCGGTTTGGTTTTTAGTCCCTGCAGCAAGTAGTGGAGGGCAACTGGAAGTCTTACCGAGGGTTGAAACGGGAGTAAGCCCATGTGTCAGTAAAGTAGGTGTTCTATCTATAGTAATCCTTTGATATTGTTTCTTTTCTTTTCTTTCTTTCTCCGTACTTTAAATTGGTTCCTGGTCACCGTGACTCCAGACACAGCCAAGTACCGTTAAAGTGGCGTATTCGGAGGAAACCCTATAGAGGTATGTATATTGTTAGAGAATCTGAGATTAGTTCAGAGTCCCATCCAATAAAACAAACAAGCTCATTGATATATTAACGCCCGTCGGTTTCATCTTGGGGTGGGCATTAGCATATGGAGTAGCGATAGATTAATGATAGATTAATTTTCGGCGATCTCGTCAACGTCGCTTACGTATATCGCCCGATCCCACTGCGCAGACTGACTAAACGAGCAATTTTGACGGCTATAGTAGTTCCTGTTATGACGGTTGTCTGGGTCAGCCACCATTTCACCATGGATATAGGATTTTCCTTTTTCTTTTCTTTCTTTCCCCTAGCTAGTCCTTCGGAAGAAGAGACTGGAACGTAGGGATTGCAGGACAGCAGATAAGGAGAGGGAAAAGAAAAAGAAAAGAATAAGAAAAGAAAAGAAAGTAAGCAGAGAAAAAGAAGGTTCTATTCGATTGACCCTCGGAGATGATACTCTGTCGGTATAAATCCTCCTTTACAAGGCCTGGTCATCGGAGTTGTATCTACATCTCTACTAGGATAAATCAATGTCATGAACGAGACGCCATCATCATTGAGGGTTACTTCAGGCGGTCCTTTCCCAATCCGGAGAACGCTAAAAGACCAACGTTGTTGAGACGCTAAACCAACTTCATGCCCGACGTCTGCTAGGCTCGGATTTCGCTTGCAGGAAATGAAAGAAAGCCCAGTTTCATCGGCAGACTGCCGAATCCGTTAAGTGGTCGGGCATTGGGTGCGACTAAAATAAGACCCGAGTCTAATCTCTGGTTCCACATACGTAGAGGGGGCGCCTACCGCGGACACTCTCCGTGGACCCTGAGATTAAGCAATGCTTGGACTTCGGTTGCTTGAACAGGAGCTCCCTATTTTGTTCTCCATATCTATGGGGAAAATACATACATGTGGGAGATTCGGTGTTCTTGGCTTGTCGCAACTTGGGATACTTAACACTCATCCACACATACCGTAAGAGGCAGGCCAAATTCCAAAGACGATGGTGATTTGTTTAAGGTGGTATTGAGGAGCTCTAATGTAACCATGATCAATATGCCTCTTGAATAGTTTGATACTATAGAAGAGACCAGAATTGCATTGTTGATATACTTAATACCTGCAGCCCAAGTCCGTGCGGATATGGTGCGCAGTCTATTAGTTATCAATCAATTGGTCTTGCGATAAAGGCAACACAAAGTTTGTAATTAACCATAGGGCAAGGCAACTGCTAAATTACTTTCGAGGGCTTTGAGGCTTGCTGTATCTACTATTATTATCCATGCTATGGTTGCAAGAAAAGGAAAAAAAAAAGGTAAAAGAAGGGAAATGAAAAGAAAAAAATATTCCGTTGTCTGCGCGTACAATGTATAAATAGTTGGATTGCCCTTTTTTTCTTTTTCTTTTTCTTTGTACAAGTCCCTTACAGAACACGTACATACATTTTGGCTAGCCAAGAATCGCCAGACGCCCTAAGATGCAGGTATGATCCTTAATTAAACCTTGCCTGGCCCACCCCTTTCTGACAGATCTGTACTCCAGAGTCAAAAGGTCGACCTACAAACTTCAAAAGTATGCATGTTGATCAATATTACCCTGCAGGGTAATGTGATATTTGAATCAAGTCAATAGCACATAATTGCTTGTTCTACATGTAGCCCAGAAGTTAATATATTGTTTGTAGCAACCTCAAACGCACAACTAGTGAGAAGAGGGTGCAAGATCCAATGGGAAAATTAAAGATTAAAAGAAAAATGAGAAAAAGAGGAGAAAGAATCTCCCACCATACCTTCGAGATAAAGGTGAAACGCTCATCCTCATTAATACATCGGTGGAATCCGTTGACTAGGATGACGATGAAATTAGTCTCTGCCCCATACCCTGGGGCTTTGAGTGCTACTCTGATTGGAGAACCAAAGAAAATGATGACGACTCCAGGGCTTCTCGAAGCTCAGTAGAGTTTCGAGGATCCGTTTCGACTTTCCCACTAAGCCCCTTTGGACGCCCACAACACGCAGCAAAACTTCTCATCACCCAAAAGGGGAAGCTCATGTGTGCCAAGCCATATTCTCATTGGCTCCTCTGCATATACAGCCCCATGAGCGCTTGGCCAATCACGGGCGGTAAGGCTTTGGCCAAACGAGGGAGTTAAATTTAATGTCTCCGACCTACCAAGTCAGGCCCCAATTTACTTCCCCCCATCTTTTTCATACTAGCATTCAAGATTCCCCCATGATTGACAGGTCTCAGTCTTTTTCAGGTATCTGAACTTTTTTCCTTTGGTTGAAACTTATTCCCTTTTACTTTATTATTATTATTATTATTATTATTATTATTATTAATCCCCCCTCTCCCTTCAACTTTCTTCCCCCTTAACCAACTCAGTAGAAGGATGAGGGGGGCAGAGAGGGGAAAACATATCTTTTGAAGACTCGAAGCAAAAGCAACCCCCACATCCCCCACTAATCCTGTTACAGATGTCTGTCACAGGCCTCTGGGACCATGGTTGCGTTGAATTGGGACGAACCACCACCTGGAGAGGCTGGAAGAATCAGGGGGATATCCAATGGCCTGATGGAATGTTGAGGGGTTTTATATCTCTCAGGGAGCAATATTTCGTGCACTGTACTCCGTAGAAGCTGGGATACTATTACCAGTAATATTTATAATACTAATAATAATATGAAGTGTCAGGGTATTGATCGGACAACTGGGTCTCTGGAGGGATTTTACCACCCTTTCATTCTAGGCTGGGAAGAAACAACAAAAAGGCACCGTGAGTCCTTGGGTCCAATGTACGAACAGGGCCATTGGTGTTCCACAGCCACATTCCAATCAATGTTCCTGACAAGACTCTCTAACCACGTTACTGGATGGGTCGATTAGAATACATCTGGGGAAAGGGTGTTCAATATAGATTAGAATGAGTGATAATAATAGGAATCACATTCATCATCGGGATCCTTGCACATACATTAGACTACTTTGTTGACTACAAATTGAAAAAGCAAACAAAAATCTTGGGCATTATTTTTATTTTATTTTATTTTTTATTTTCTAATTTAAAATGAGAGAGACTGGGGTGTTTCATCCTTAGGTTAGGGCATAGTGCTATCATTTTAGGCTGTTTTATTATTCAGGGTCTGATTCTGGAAGGTCTCCATCCAGTATGTAATGGGACTGGGGGAGGATTCATCATCATCAAATTCACTTGCCATCTATAATTATCTTTAGTGTATATTCACTGTCCAGATTATGTTCATGATTCTTTTCCTATTTGGTTCTTGCCTGTTACCCACTTTGAATTTTTTTTTTTTATTTTCAATTTTTTATTTTTATTTTTGTTATTGTATTTTGCCTTTCCAGTCTCTTTGATTTTTGATGAATTATTATTTCTCCTTTCATTACTTAGAATTTCTTGTCCCCCTTTCTTCTAAGCCACCCTCTCTGTCCTTCAAGTAAAAGGAAAGAAAAGGAAAATATGAAAAAAAATAAAATAAAATAATTGAAATACAATCATTAATTCTAATCTGTAAAACTAATTTATTTTTTTCTTAAAAATTTTTTATTAAAATAAAATAAAATAGCCAGAGTAAAAGTCCCGAGATCCTCGATCCCGAAAGTGTAGTAGGCATTCATTGATTATTACGCACTGGGCCTCTCTGTCTCTTTTCTTTCAGATTTACTTTCTTTCATTGGCATCGCTCTCTCCATTTGGCTCCAATTTTCCTCTTCTTAATTATTCTCACACCCAAGGTTTCATGGGAGAGGTACCTTACTTTTTATTTTTTTTTCCCCCTCCCCCCCCCCTCTTCCAATCTTCAACGTGTTCTGGAAGAGTCCCTCCTTTCCCTGGGATTCTTAGTGATCACCTTATTTTGATTTGATTTCTTTTTATTATTATTTATCTTTTCCTTGGGCTCCTATTGAATATTGTCCCTTGTATAATACCTACTTCAGACCCGTGGGCGGAGACGGTCCTTGTCCCCGTGGGCCAATTTACCCTCAACCAACCTTGCGACATACTAAACAACCTACTGCCAATTGCTTTTTGACGACGGCCACGACGACGACGAAACAAATAAAAATAAATACTTACACCCTTAGTGCGGTTCCTCCCGACCACGAGCTAATCGTGTGAAACCTACTCTGGATTCCTTCATTCTCTGAATTGTTGTTGGTTTAGCATCTCCTGCGTGCAGCCAGACTGACGGTGGAGTAACATTGCGAAACGGGGAAATCGGTCTACGTACGACAACTATCGCCAGCCAGAGCGACATTTCACCGATCGCCCCCAGATTCCCGCGCGTGGTGTGTTTCCTGCTTGGATCTTCAGTCCTTGCGCCTTCGCGCTTGCATGTGTGGGCATTTCTTCTCCAGTCACTACTAGTAGTCTTCGCTTTCTCAGGGATCGACTTGTCTCGCTCACTCACTTTCTTTTGGTCCTGGTGCGATTTATGCGCCCTTCCTGTTGGGGTCCCGTTCCTTCATCTCGCTCCCGGGAGCTATGCCTGCGGTTGTCGGAACTACTATGACTTCCACACCAACTTCGCAAACCGCAGTCATGGAATCCTCAGCCGCCGCGGACAAGAAGCGCAATAAGCTGGGATACCATCGCACCTCCGTCGCATGTGGTCAGTTGTTTCCCTCCCCTGATCGGGATCACTAAATCCTCGTAGATCGCGGTTGCTTATCATCCCACCACAGTACATTGCCGGCGACGAAAGATCCGATGTCTTGTGGCGGCCGACGACGCTCAGGGTCGATGTGAGAATTGTATTCGCTTGAAAAAAGAATGCCAGTTTTTCCCCGTGGATCAACAGCCTCCAATCGAAAAGAAACCTCGTCCGAATTCGAGGTTAGAGACGGCGTCGACCGATCCATCCACCGCCTCGTCCTCCCCGCCGACAGTGAGCGGGGGAGAACAAACGGAGGCGTTCTTTCCCTACCAACCCATACCGTTGAGTTCCGGTCAGGATGTCACCGCGTTTAGTACTGGAGCGTTCCCTGGAAACCCCATGACACCGTTTGCGCCAGGTGGGTGGTAATCTTTTCCTTCCATGAGACAAGAAGGTTTTGTTAACCAAGTTTATCGAATAGACCGCAACGTAGGGGCTTCTGAGTTTGCGACGGCGCCGCCTCTCGATCCATCTGTACCTTGGGACGAATTCACCACGATCTCAGATCCGCAATTATTGGCAAACATGTCGGCAGGGAAACCACAGATGGTGAACATGCCCCCGAATGTCTGGACCCCGGGCCCAAACGCCATGGCGACCATTCCAATTGCTTCAGGGCTTCCAACACCGACAGTACCATCGCAACCGCAGACTCTCAGTCCAGCGCCGACGTACACGATGCAACCGGATGGATCAGTCTGGCAAGTGCCCCCCACACGATCTATGACATATCCCCCGCCGCCAGAAATGGCCGCAGCACCATATCCCAACCCCGGCCAGTTCCAGCAACCGCCCCCAGATATGAATCCCGGCATGGCCAGCCCAGGGCAACCTTTCCAAGGAAACCACGTTCACCCTCAAAGTCCTCCATCGACGGATATCCAGGCGACGCCGGTTTCCGTAACGTATCCTGGTGCCCCGGCCGCAATGGGATTTCCCGCCTGGCAAGACGTAAACAATATGTCGCCCATGAACGTCGTACAGTATCAGATGTATGCCGGGGATGCCGCACAACAAGCGTCGTTTGGCAGTCCCCCTATGGGCCACCCGGGCCAAAGACAGTCTCCCCGATGACGAGTCAAGGCGTTGGCAATAATTTGAGCAAGAAAGAGAAGAAGCTTCCGTTACATAATACCCAGTGCAACCTTTTTTGACATTTATTCTACATCTTCTGCGTCTTCTTCTACCCTCCACCTTTTCCATCGCGGGCATTTCCTTCACAGCTAATCATTAGCGGGCGCAAAGGATCTTGGGCGGCATTTTTCATCTTCGTTTCTTCCATGAGACCCCCTTCTCTTTTTTTTTTTTTTCCATCTTTGTTCTTGTTTTACGTTTGCCTTTGAGGTGACATTGCATACGATCCTGGTTGTTTTAAGGCAACAGTTAAATCTCAACTGTCATTATCCTCATTCCACCATTTCCGGCTTTTCCAGCCTTCGTCTGATTTCGTTTTGCCATTGGATATCCATGTCTGGTTCATGAGCTATGTTGTTGTTAAAGCACCAGCAGGACAGGTGTCATTGATAATAGGTCTAATGGCGAGGGTGGAATTTTTCGGTCAACTTCGTTCATGTTCAAAGTGATATGGCACTCGGCGCAAAAATCTTGCGTTGACTGTCATCACCACTACATGACGAGAACAGTTACCAAGCATGACCCGCCGAGCATTGAATATCTCGTTTTTGTACCATTTACACCTGAAAAGCTGGAAATATTACCTTCTCATTTGGAGAGTGGATGGTAGACGTGAAGGGTTGTTATGGTTTATGGCCTCTTGCTTAGCCTCTATTTGCATTCTTACTACCCCCTCTGGCCATTGATTGATTTGGCATGTTTATGTTGACGTTTATCGCTTTTGTTTCTTTTTTGATTATCTATCCATCATAGACTTTCCTTTTTATTTCTCTTCAACGAACTATAGACCTCTGCTGTATGGACGGAGATAACTCAGATAGACTTTGATCGATGGGACGATAATGAAGGCATCTCTAGCACCGATGTTTCATCTTAAAATTATGTGTCTGAGTAGTGGACGATCTTTTGTATTAAGTGGACGGGGGCAGAACCCCGTACAGCGCTTGATATAGAGAGCTTCCTTATCCATGGTAGATACCACCTGCCAACTCAATCATTAACCCTACCTCAAAACGGTAGCAAGATTGTAACATAGGATTATACACACCGTCCCAGATTTGAACACACACCAACCCTATCCCCGTCAGTATTTTAATCCAGACTACAGAGTTACAGCATACGTCCCTGCATATTCTTCCTAGACAACATATGCCAATTAGCACGTAGTACCCTTATCCACCCTTATTCAAAGCCAAAGATGAAACCCTCATCCGAAATTACCTGATATGAAACGGAACCTTGTTATCCATCAGGCCACTGAACATAAGATTAAATAGTCTGGTGGAAACTTTGTCCAATTATTAAACCTGACCGAAGTCTATTTTCGAAATTCTAACCGGCCTAGGTTGGAAAAATAGTGAGTGAGTAGGGCTGATTGATTCCTTGTACAGCGGACTATGTCTTGCCGACTGGCCGTTTGCATAAATATCAGCATCGACTGACGGAAGCTTCCTTAGGCTGGAGAGGATACTAGTTGTATTGTCTTGGAGGAGGGTGATTTTAGGCTAAAGAAAGTGGAACGCTCGGTGAGCGAAGTATAGATTAGATGGGGAGGTGGAGGTGGGTCAGGATTATCTGGGTGTTGAGGCATGGGTTTGGTTGTGGAAGCTATTCTAGGGTTGAAGGCGCTCGGGCCATGATTTAGTTAGCTGTAGAGTAGATAGGATGATGGAAGATTGCTTATTTTCGGTGGCTATTGTGTCTGGGTATAGAAACTTTGTGGCATTGATAATGGCAGTTAGAAAGAATTTGGGTCAAGATTGAATATATTATGGTTACTTCTGGGGGTGTTTGATAAGATATACTTTATCCAATGGAACGCTTGTATATGTCCGTATACTTCATATCGATGGCTGAGGTATGTGAAAATCACGTGTAGGAAGATGTACGCGCCCAAGACTAAAATGATGTGATATTCTAGGTAGTTGACATGTCGGCCAAAAGAGACATATATATATATATATATATATGTATGATTTCTCAAATTAACCTGCATCTTAGCCCGCCCAATAATGTATGCCCTCTGCTTATCATAATGCATGTTTGCGAGTGCAACTTGTCTCCGCGGGGATGATGCCCAATTCAATTGACTGGCAGGAGATAAGAGTTGCAATGCTCATGATGCGAAGAGGCGGCCGAAGGGACAGAGATACGCGTTGAAGATGGCTTTTAATGGTACAATCTGGCCCCTATCAGCTTGACAAGTGTGCCCCCGAAAATGGGAAGGACCCTATCCGGGGTGATTTTGTGGAGTGTTATGGAGACATGGGACACTCGCCTCAACTTATTATCGTCGGTTTACACAGGATTGGACCGGGCTAGAGATAACGCTGGTCGAGGATCCAAACATGCGGTTTCATTTGATTTGCCTTGCAGCAGATGTTGGGGCCGATCCTGCCAATGTAACGGCGCTTATCTCGAAGCCCTGCATGTTGTTATCATGGTTTGTGCCTTAAGGGCCGACGCTCGGCTTTGTTGTGTTTGCTTCAAAACTTGCGTGCAACTTAAAGTCTGCTGATTTCCCCGGGGGACTGGAGTTTGTCTCTCAATTCACTATCACGCCTTTTCACCGTCTTGTGGGGTGATGGTAAAAAGCGATTGAACTCAAGAGCCCATATATCTCTCTCGGACAGATCCTCATAAGCATGGGGTTCTTCTTCTCTCTCCCTTTTCTCTCCATGAATCTAGAAGGCAAAGTGCCTCCCCAAGGGCTTGTTGGGGGTGAAGACGGGCGAATATATACTGCTGCTATCTCCACGTCCTCGACAATCAAAGCTAGACTTCTTTCGGCCCAACCCGATCATACTCCCTGACGCTTGAAGATAAATAATCATTAGAAACAAAAAGGCAACCACACAGAACATGAACATGACGGACGTGTTGATTCCCCTTTACACCCCCCCCCTTCTTGCATCTAACTTCGCCCAGTGGGCTGATCCTTTCTCATCGGCATTGGTAGTCGACTTCGTCAATTTCATCATCCTTCCATCCAGCACAGCCCGTCCTCCTGACTGGGGCCGCATTCCTGCATGGATTTCTTGCCACCATAGCCAGCCATTCACCATTGTCGCATTGCTATTTCCGGTTTATCCGCCGGATCCGCAAGAATAATCGCATCCAACTCTCCAGAGTCAATGGAAGGGGACCGTCTAAAGGGGGGGTATTATTGCTGTCGCCATTACTATCGTTGCCAGACAAGAATAGTAATATCACTACTAATAATCACGGACAGCGTTCAGATGATCATTATCAGCGCCCTGATTGAATGCCCTGGAGGTGCCCCCACCTTACCCAGACTCACAGGCTGGGGTTAACAAACCCCCCGCCTCCTAAATGGGGCTGTGGTTCACTGGTGGTATGGATAATAGTGCTTGTCTACGCTAAAGATGGCAGTCTTCCTGCATCCTTTGTTACGCACCATGTACAACAACGGATTTGCCGACGCTCTGACCCGAGTTGGATACGTCACACCCCCCTCTCTTTGCATTGTTCCTGTCCTTTTCTTTTCTTTTCTTTGCTTTTTTTTTTCTTTTTCTTTTACTTTTTTTTTCTTTTTCTTTTACTTTTTTTTTTCTTTTTCTTTTGCTTTTTTCTTTTTCTTTTGCTTTTTTCTTTTTCTTTTGCTTTTTTCTTTTTCTTTTTCTTTTCTTTTTTAAATATGATCTTCCTCTATCGCATCATATAGGAATTAGTCTATCCGGATAGACCATATTCTACCTATACGATGATACCCTTGTGATTGGTGGACAATAATCCACCCTGAGATATCTGTTTGCCATTAAGATCATGACGGTCTGATGCTGCACACTATACACCCTTGGCGACGGTATACTTACCGTGACAGGTTAGCCCAGGCACGCGACACGCTTCAATTGAACACAACTGGATTCGACTGGTTTGCCCTGATAAATCCCGCTAGGAGTCTTTCAATATGCATCTGGACCAAAAGGGTCCAATCCTAAGGCTCATGTTGCGTTGCGTGGCATGTTGTTTCCCCCTACTATACCCTGGACGCAGGCAATCATAACTCCTGCAAAGCGGCTTATAGAGAGCTCAGCATTTAGTGAGTTGAGTGGGTTGATCTTGAAAGGCAACGGTTACCTTTTAGTGGTTAATCTCCACGCCACTTGCCCACTCCGTCGCTTTTACTTTGATCTTGGCCTTCAGCCGGGCTCGAGCAGTTGAACTTTATTCAGTGAACTCGATGGAATTTTTTTTGGCGTTTTGTCACGCCCTCGGGACAAGGCTGATGCCGTTTTCTTTCTCAATAGGGTTATTTGTTGGCAGAGCAATAACGATCGACTTGAGAAGGAAAAAAAAAGGAAAAAAAAATAAAAAGACAAAGGCAAACGTGGATCTGAAACAGAGAAGAGGGCAAGAAAATTAATTATCCGACAGGTGAATCCTTTCCGTTCGGGGAATCCCCGAGGAAGAGCCGACATCCATCACAGTGTTGCATTCATTCTACTAACTCAGGTCGGCCCCGATCGACGGATATCCATTGGCTACGATGACCAAGTCAAATTACATGCTTATCAGCTTATCGTTGTTATCTCTCCATGTCATCATGGTTGCTGTGTGGACAATGGAATTAATATGTTATGAACCACTAGCACGGTGGGACTCGTGCGGTTGTCTATCCCGTGGGGCCGTACGACAATAGAGAAAGAAAACAAGATACCACTGGCTCTTCGACGGTTGCCCAGGGAGGTACTAACTGACAAGCTGGTTCGAAACGCAGCACCTTACCCCGCTGTTCAGTTCATATTTGTCGTTCAGAAACGTGCATTTCGTCTGGTACTCCCGCGATTGTCCCATAGTCTGAACGGCGGAGGTATTTTTGAACAACCTTGTTTCGCTTCGCACGTTCGCCTTGACAGATTGGTGATGTCAATCTCCATTTTGCTCGTGTGCTTAGCTTGCTCTCTAAATGGCACTCACTCACATTGCGCGATCGGGCCAACCCGACATCCCTGGAAAAGCCGATGGAGCTACGGAGTACTACCGCATGCTTCGTACTCGCAGCTTGATCCCGACCGTGAAGAACCATCTCTGGCTGAAATCAATCCCGACTGAAGTGCTGTACCATCCATCAATTTATCCAGACTAGATACCAGACGATCGGTCGTTGCTATTCTGGCCTGGATGACAGAAACCCCGCCAAGAGTGGATCCGGATTCATTTCAATCGTGGATGTCCCTTGCTTATTTCATTGATCAGTGAACATCATAGGATGAGCCGGCTGTAGACTTTCGTAGCATGCGTGAGAATTTCCGGGCGGAGAACTACAACGCTGTAGGCGTCGGGCCTATCGTTCCCTAGCGATGGTCGGTTACCGACTTGAAATGGAGTGACCATACTTACCGTACCGCAGGCGGGAACCGGATGGATACACGGATCGGGTAAGATAGGAATGGAACCTAACTCTCCGGTGAGATTGAGGCATAGTTTACAAGAAATTTAATTGATATAGCTTCATCAGTTTCCTAATCCGTCGTTGTCCCCGGTGTGTTTGCGATTGAGAAAGAAAGAGAAAGAAAGTAAGAGAGAGGAACGGAGAGAGATGAATGATTTTCATACCTAGCCTAGCTAGGTACGGATCATACCGTGGTGAAAGTGGTAAAGTTATTGAAAGCAATAACTTCATTTTCATCATTACATTGGAAACCACTAATGAGCGACGGTATACTTCTGGGAAGGCAAAAGTACTTTCCCATTGCCTTCATATAGAAACAGACTGACTATGAACTCTAAATCTGGCCGTCAGCCATGTGCAAGTGGACCGTGTCGCATCTATCTTAAGAATTGAGCTTCCTGTCTTCGGAGCTCGTCCGGACCAGACGGGTTGCCCGAGTGCTGGGTTTCGACCGCGTCCGCCCCGCTGGTAGCGCATGGGCCCTTGCCCTGGGGCTTTCACTTCTTCTCTGGTAGGCCATGGCATCCAGCTTGTTTGGTTGCTTCTCCTCTGTGCTGATTGCTCCGGTCGAGACTCGAGTGGATATGATGGGAGGTGTCCGATGAGCGGAGAGCTGCTCAATGCTCCGGAGAGAGAGAGATGTACAGTATGTACGTACATACATACATACATACATACATACAGTGTATGACTATTGTGCGTAACTAACCTATATTACGGGCTGCTATACATTGAATACGGACAGGGGACTTCTGAGCCCAAGGTCGGCCCGATAGATGGTCTGTGTAATTGTATGCATGCAAGCCGCATTGTCCATACCCCCTTTAGTCTTAAAGAGTCCACCCGATATTCCTATTCTGTCCGGTTTGTCGAGGGTTTTGTTCCTCCCTTTGTGGTTACCTTTTGTCTCGGTCAGACGCCGAAAAAGCTTCGCTCTCACATCCTAGCCAGGTTAGTCATATCTTATTATGAAACTGACTGTGTTCGATCGGGATGAAACAAAGAGAAGCAGAGTCATCCATTTAACATTGCCTCGGTTTAACATTTGAGTCATTCCTCAAACGGTCAGATTGTCTGTTAGGGTACGATTTTCAGTCCGTGAACCTTTGGTACCTTCTCTTGGAAACAGGCGGTCATTGGTGGAGTTAGCCTCCATTTACGGCCGAATGGGGATTACGGGCTAATCAGAGTGGAATCCTCGATTTGGATCTAAGCTCGTGGAGGAAAGGTACTATTAATCAAATGCGTGCCTGTTTGTAGTTCGCATTTTAACCGTCGGTTAGGAATCCTTCCATGAAGTTGTGGTTATGATAATTGATTGATATTTATAATACTAAATTTTTATCCTTTAGGCGAAGCTCTGCCAGGGATCAGGATAGAGTGCATCTTCCTATTATAATCATGATTATATTATGTTGAGAGATGCTGACGGGCTTAAAAGTCGAATGAATTGAATTGAACTGAATTTAATGCGATGCAGCCTTCGAGAACATCCCCGGCAACGTTAAAACCACGAGTTAAAAATGGGTCGCCACTCTTCCAGTACGGTATTGGTAATACTTCCGTTTCCAGCCTGGTTTCAGTCCGGAAACTTAATTCCAGCGAGACCCAATATAATTTCATGATTCATTGATTGAATTCGATCTAATCCATTGAGATTCCAATACCCATCAATGCAAAAATATTAGAGGGTTGAAGAGTCCAGTATGGTCTCCTCAAGAGATAGACCATTAAATAGGCCTGGAGGAATAAATCCTACTACTCGGAAGAGGATGATCGTTAGAATTAATTAATCAATGCGAGGCTGCAGCATCCCTGCGTGGATTTTCTCTTCTTACGGCGGGAACCAGAAAATGAGAGAAAACCACGATGGGAAAAAGGCAGGGATGTTTAGTTTCCCAGGATTATTACTGGTTCCGTAACTGTAAACGTTCTGTATGTATGGATGGACGGCGTGGTCTCCGCCCAGTCCGTCATCCACTCTTTCCACCTCTCTTCTCTTTACTTTTCCCCCTCCTCTCTCTCCTCTCTCTCTCTCTCTCTCTCTATCCTTCTCTCTCGGTCTCTCTCCCTTTCTGCTATTCTTATATTGTATTTGGACCCCCGCGTCAGTATCGCCTTGTGAATCTCTCGTGTTTTTTGTTTTCGTATTTTATTCCCCGTTTCTGATTGCTCCTCTATCGGACTTGATTCGGCCATGTGCATCTGGAGGGTCTAGCCCCCCCTCTCTTCTTAACTCTCTCTCTCTTTTTTAGACTGTCACCCAAGCCATAAGATCATTCCGGGAAAAGAAAAAGCAAATTATTATCATCTGAACAAATCATAACCAGGCGAGGAAATTCAGGCGAAGGAGGGGAAGACCAGGAAGGATAAACGGTCAAAACTGGGTCTTGAATCAGTTCATGACATACGTTCGTCGTCTTGAAATTCAATAGGTACGGATTGATGCATTCCACCGGGACTCGACACTTTTAGCCTGCGTCTCCGTCTCCAATGATTGATTAAGTACACTTTCGATACTTCTGTCTTGTGGTTGGACCCATCCACTATTTCTTCATTTGAATTTGATTTCTTGTGACGGATCTCAGACCAAGTGCCTAAACTATAACTGACTTGGACCCCCTCCAGATCCTAGCTTCCCTATTCTTTCCCACCAACTATTGCTGCATCCTCCTGCAAGCACTGGTCGTTTAGGGCGGGTAGACTGGAATTTATTCCTTGCGCCAGTGACCAATCGCCCTGTCGACTGTCTCACTCTCGCTTCTAGCTCTTTTTCCTTCGATTCTCATTGCTTGTGAACCTCTTCAACCGTCCTTATCTCTTCCCCCCTCCATCCAGCCTGTTGCTCCTATCTTTCGCTTTTTTTCCTTTTCCTTTTTCTTTCTTTTTCTGGATCTTCCTGACCCCTCTCTCTTGTCGCCTACCGTCATTACCCCCGCGCTTCCCAATAAAGAGTAGAGCGTGTGAATATGTCCGGATTGACCCTCGGGCGACGCCCTGGGGGCATGCGACCGACTCAAACCGCAAAATTTACTACCTACGATTCTTCCACCGATGCTGACCGCTCCTCCAACAATGCCCCCCCTACTTCCTCGCAGCTGTCCGATGACTTTTCTTTCGGTTCCCCTCTGAGCCCCGCCGACTCGCAGGCTCATGACGGTTTACTTCAAGACTCGCTCTTCCCCGAATGGAGGTCTGGTGCCCCTCGAGGCGGCCTCGACACTCCAGATGAGATGCAAAGGCAAGATCCGTTAGCGACACAGATATGGAAGCTTTATTCTAGGACCAAGGCCCAGTTGCCCAACCAGGAGCGCATGGAAAACCTCACTTGGAGAATGATGGCAATGAGTTTGAGACGCAAGGAGCAGGAACGTGCCCAACATTCCCTGTAGGTTTCCCCCCCCCCCCCCCTCTGCAGACTAACGGATCGCCCCGCTCATTATTCTTCTTTCTGTTGTGAAGGCGCCCTGGAAGACCCAGCAGCGCTGGCCCCAGTGGCATCGCTCAACTACGCATTTCCGACCAGCCAATTGCCAATCCTCATCCACAGTCGACCGACCTGACTGCCGATCCCATGAACCTTGATGATTTCATCGTTCCCTTCGAATCTCCCTCGGACCACACCTCGCCTAATGCCACCCAAACCACCGACTCGACCTCATCCGCGGCCATTCCCATCAAGTCCAGGAAAGATCAGCTGAGGGATTCCACACCGGTGCCCGCCTCGTTTCACCATCCGGCTCAGGACCAACGCAAGAACAGTGAATTCGGATACGTCCCTCGTCGCGTGCGTAAGACGAGCATCGACGAGCGCCAGTTTTTCTCTTTGCAGGTTCCCACCCGGAAGCGACCGGCAGAGTCATCGCCCCAGGTGCCCCCGGTCTCCAACTCCATGTTGGCCCATGACCCTGAGCTCTCGGGCGGCGTGCCTGACTATGCCTTGGATACGCCGTCGGCGTTTGGCTTCCACCAAAATAACCACCATCCCGCAAACCACCACAATCATACTTCTCCCGGCGTGCCTTTTGGCTTGGATACATTCGGCCTTGGTGACGATCCGATCCTGCCCTCAGCGGGTCCCTACCAGTCGCAGTTCACTTTCTCGCCGAGTGAGTCTCCCATGACCTCCACGCACCCGTTCGCGAACCTTTATTCGCATACGCCGGTGGCATCGTCCCTCAATTCGACGGACTTTTTCTCCCCACCTCCATCGGGCTACCAGTCGACAGCATCCACACCGCAGCCGGCCTACGACGGCGATCACTCGATATATTTCGATATGCCGTCAACCGATGCTCGCACCCAGCGCCGCGTCCCCAACTATGTTTCGCATCGGTCTAATTTGTCCGCTTCGCTGCAGCCTCGTTATATGTTCAACCAACACAACCATGAACAACAGCCCGTTTCATCCACGGTGCATTCGCCGAGCTACCCCATACCCCAGCCGCAGCACGTAGATCCGACTCAGGTGCTGAACGCAACAAACTTTCCGACGGGTAACTCTCATACAGGCATGTTTACGTTTGGAGCAGATTCTGATAACGAGGATGACGATGGCCGTCAGCTGTCGGAACGAGCTGGCCTGGCCATGCCGACTGAATTCGGTGACGAAAATGAGGGCTTCGCATCGGGCATGCAGTGGGACGGCCAGTTCCCAGGCTCCTTCCATTCACTGCCAGGCTTTGGTCCTCAACATCGCAAACATGTCACTATAGGTTCCGCGGACATGATGGACACTCCGGAGGAGTGGAATCAGGGAAGCAGTTTGGGTCGGGCTCATGGGTCTGTGGCTTCGGTTAGTGAGGTGCGCAACCGAGAGCAGGACCCTCGTCGGCAGAAGATTGCCCGCACCACGTCCACTCCCAATACGGCCCAGCTGCTGCGTCAAAGCATGAACTCCAACAACAGTACGTCTCATACCTCTCCGAATACTCCACCCGAGTCCGGCCTCAGTAGCGCCGTTCCATCCCGCCCGGGAAGTCCCGGTGGCAGCAAGAACGGCGAGCAGGTCAACAACGGACCAACTACATGCACGAACTGCTTTACCCAGACGACTCCGCTGTGGCGTCGGAACCCGGAGGGCCAGCCACTGTGTAATGCTTGCGGGCTGTTCCTGAAACTGCACGGTGTTGTGCGCCCGCTTTCCCTTAAAACGGACGTCATCAAGAAGCGGAACCGCAGCAGTGCCAACAGCCTGGCAGTGGGAACTTCTCGTTCATCGAAGAAGTCCGCCCGTAAAAACTCGGTGCAGCAGGTATCCGTCACGACCCCTACCTCGAGCCGCGCCCAGAACAGCGCCTCCTCCGAATCCCCGCCCGCCGGGTTTGGCATCGCGGCGGGACGGTCCAATGGGGTGGTGCCTATTGCCGCTGCACCTCCGAAGTCTGCACCCTCCGCAGCAACCTCCCCTGGCGGGACCCAAGGCCGGAACCAGGTCCAGGCGGCCCCGAAACGTCAACGACGACTGGAGAAGGCCTCGGAGGCAGAACTGGACGAGGCGAACAAGTCCGCGGGTGGTCGATCCAAGGTGGTGCCTCTGGCGCCGGCCATGCCCCCGGCAGCGGCGAATCCGGCGAATCATAGTATTGCCGGAGGCCAGGGTGCTAGTCAAGAATGGGAGTGGCTGACCATGAGTTTGTAACGATTGCGTTTACTTCTCTGATTCTCTACACTCCTTCATATTCTTTGAACCCTTGCCTTTTTTATTTTCTTTCTCATTTTTCTTTTCAACCTGTTGATGCTACGCCATGACCGATAGACATGATGAATACTGCAACCGATGGAATCTCGCTAGACGAGAGGTGTTAGATGACGTGGCCCGCGATGCACTTAATGAGATACGACGGGGTGCGATCCGATGGTCACGCGAGTTTAATGGTAACATGACGAGGGATATTCGTTTTGTTATTTCGGGACTTGATTACTGGACTATGTTTTAATCCGCGATCTAGCAGTGATACGAATCCTGCGCTGTGACGATACACAGCTTGCCTTGTGGTTCTGTTGTGGCTTTGTGTTTGCTTGATTTATGCCTGATACAATCGCGTCTGTCCGGACCCCAGCCTTTTGTTCTCCTTTCTTGTTCTGATCTTGCTTGTCTATTTCTCATCTTCCCGAGTTTTGTTCAAGGCTCGGGGCCGGGCAGAAGTGCGCATCTTTGCTTTGTGTTTTATGTCACCGTCCATAGACGCTGTATGTATATGGTGCACCATGATTTTACTTGATCCAGTTTGAACTCCTTTGTATCCGTTGTAAGTGTAGCCAGCTGTTGAAATACGTACACAGATTTTTGTTTGCACCCGCCTTTCCTCAACCCAGTAAGCAACTGCAAAACTCGTGGCATCTCTTGCCAGGTTTCGTCCCTATGGAGACATCGACCCACTATATCATCCCCTAGGAGACGCTAGTATTCTTGACATCATACTGCGTGAGCTTAAATTTTCAAGGAGCCAATGCCATGGAAACATCCGAGTTCTGTCGTCGTTACATCTATATCACCGCGACGAACCAGCCAACTTGAGTTCGAGTCGCCTGAATTATACCTAAATACCAGGTCATTTTTTGAATCATTTAACATCTTTTCCCTTTAATCCTCTTAAATTCCATAGGTACATAAATATAAGAAGTCATCTTAACCATCAAGATTACCACCAAGGTACCTAGCCCTAAATCTGGAGCCCGCGAAACCAGGTCCGCAGTGCATGATAGTCTAATTGGAGAACCGGGGTTAGTACTTGATGTATGAAGATATATCTTGACTGGATTGGAATATATTTTTGATACTAAATTGTTGTATAGTATGGAAAATATATTCTTGGTTTTGCGATGAAACGGAGGTACTTAGATTAGATTTGTGGGATTGAGTGAGGGTTGAGTGAGGGTTGGGCGTTTGGCTGAAAGTTGTGGACTTGGATATAAGGTAGCAACGAAGGTACAGTATATTCGGTGGTTCTTGTCTAATGAATGAAAGTGTTATGTTTATTGAATTTGGTATGTGTTTTGAGGGACTCTATTGTCGATCATGTAATCGACATAGTATGTTTACATGTGTACACATTTTTCTCTTGTCTTGTCTTCCTTCTCAAGAATACTATCATAGAGTGACCGTGGTAGACTCAACATGCAACCCTAGTATGAGCAAAGATATATGTATTGTATTCCATAGAAACGATTCGTTCACCTGAGTTTATAAACACACCGGCGAGATTTGCCGCCATGGACGGATGGGTTGTCGATGGAGTTTTCATGACTCCGTTAAGATATCAAAGCTAAGATTCTTCCCTATTTCTCTTCTTTCTGTTCAACGAAAGGAAAGGTCCGATCCGCGGATTTCTAAGCCTTCACTCCCCCTTTGGGGATAGTTATTGTTACATCTAGATGTGCTTCGGTTCTCGGAAGATAGACGGACTGCCTTTTCCCCGGATAGGCTGGTCGTGTTAATATACTGATGGAAGATGCTGCTCTGTTATTAGGCTCACCGAGAAATAGCATGATAGATATCATGGAGATCATATACACTCGGGGCTGTCTGGCGATTGATCAACGTCTACGGTATGCAGCTCTCCCCAAGTGATTGTAAAATGGGAGAGGTCTATCTCAGAAGTCTATCTCAGTACCTAGGGCTAAAAGGAGATGCAATTATATGATACTGAATGGTGCTTCTACGTGGGAGAGCCTACTTGCATGAACGATCTCAAACCCGATAAAAGCGTTTAAGGATCTCTAACAGTACTATGTGGGTTATCGCTAAGTGGCAACCGTGCTAGTTTGGCGATTGGGGACTGAGAAATGCGTTGCCTTGGACTCAGCTGTATAGTTTTCAAACCGTGAGTTCTGCTCAAATCGACGATATACACACAAAGGAAGGTCTACGCTATTGTGATAGGCTACTGGGCAAGTTGCTATTTAGTACTTCTAGGAAACTCGAAGCGCTTACCAAGTCCTTTCCCAAGTATTCGTGAAGATCTGCTTCTTGTATTCATAGGCACGATAAAAGAAATCCCCCACAATCTCGTAGTGCCTTCAGATCTTGCCTGCAGAGCTAGTCGTCTTAAAGTCTTTCATATCACAGCATCTTGGTCTTGACTCGTTAAAAGTTTGAATCCACTCATGAGATACTGGTCGAAATTCCCATCAGTGGTAAGCAGGAGCCTTACCACACTCTTCGCGTTCTTCGGGCGACGCTATGTACAGTTGCGTATATCCGCTATCTGATGCTCTATTGATATCAGCACCATGTTTCAGTACCAGCCGTACTATGCCCTCATGCCCCATTGAGGGCGCTAAAGATAATCATGTTCTTCCATCATCACACGAATTGTTTACAATAGCCCCATTATGGGGTAAGCTAGCTACTATTTCCCCACCACTTAACTAAGTTTGCTATATGTTAGAGAAGAACAGCCGCTACTGTCCCTTTTTTATAAATTATCTGCTACACAAGTAGTGGATTTCTCTCAATGATTGTGTGGATCCATTAAGAGATTCTAAAATAGCATGCTATGAGTAGGAGAGGTATCGAGTTGCTCCATAGTGGAAATAACATGGCTTCGCCCGAAAGTTTCCATCAATTTTTTCTTAAGAGAGACATATCCTGAAAGAAAGGATAACATATTTCAAACATATTGATCACCGAAAGGGAGCAAAGTAATGCATTCGGTAAGAAGTATAAAGTTGCGTAGGAAAGAATTGGTCATTGTTGCTGGATTGATTGGTAGGCAAGATCAACACTCTTTTGGAGAAGAAAGCTGCCACTAATGATATCCAAACATGTTTCTGTAAGCTCAAGATATGCGTCCTCTTCTTCGATGCGGAATTCTAGTAATCTGCCAGGTCCATTACACAAAAGAAAATTCCTGGTTGACTCGTAGACAAGACTGACGTTATTCCCGTGTAGTCTGAGAAAAAAATCCCGCACAGAGAGGTTTGGTCGCGTATGGTCTGCTCCCTTCTGAGGGAAGGAGACAGCAGATCATGTCTGTCAAGTACAGCCGGTAGCTCCTATTGTAACCTTGTGCAATAACAGGGCAGTAGTCGGTAGTTGACTGCTCCCAATTCGGACTTTGGTAAATCTGATGTATGTTCAACCTCAGTACATTTATCCTTTTCTAAGAGCACTTCCATCTCAAGGTCAACCAAGAGAAAAGTTCACTCGGACTGGTCTTGCAGTGTCTTCTGGGCATAATGATATAATTCATCGTCAAGCCCTTCTAAATAGGAAAGTTACAGACGTTAACACATATGAAATCATTCACTTTGTGAGTAAATTCCCTTCTCCTAATCGAGGCTCATATTGAGGAGGAATTATGACGGCCAGGGAGCTTGCGCCTAGTGATAACAAACTTGGATTCTCCCACTATATATAACGGACGATGCCCCAAAATGAGGTTCACAGTCAAATTATTGAATATTTGGCCGTCCTTGCATTCATCGAGGGCATCCACAACACAGAAAACTGTACCCAGGTCAGGATCCTCGAGAACCCTTTCAAATGTGAGCTAGAGAGCATAAGGTGTCAACAATACGTAGCTAATCTGTTCTTGGATATGGACATAGGCTAGGGAGATGATGTATCAGCTTGGACCATTTCTGGTAAATCAATCCCCTGAGTAAGGCAGTCGCCACGTTGAGCTTTTCATCTTGACAATTGCAAAAGTGAAAGACTATGCAGCTGTTCTCTCTCTGTGTCAAGACTTCAAGGCATTCTATGAGGAATAAAGAGAGTATTGTTTTTCCAATGCCGGGGTAAACAGACAAATAGAACTCACTTTCCCTTATTCAGCCAGACGTTATAAAGCCGATCTCCTGGAATCCACTCCCAGGCATCATCCGTCCTGTTTCCCTTAATTAAGAGAAGGTGTCGCCTTTCGACTTCGGGATTGAATAAGGGGAGATAGTAGTGCAATATTTCTAGATTCTGCACAAATCCTGGAAAGGTGTTTGTAAATTCCAATGACTGCCCCCTACTGTAAACAAGAAAGTCTCCACTAACAATAGATTCAACTTTAATTGCGTCGTATGATGTATTGTTCCCGCTAATATTTGAGTAAATACCTTAGGGTTGCCCTATGTCCATTGTGCCTCGGCTACCTAGTGAGCCTGACTCGTCTCTATGCTAGTAGCTTGTTGAGGAAGTCGTTCGCTAAAGCTGTTCGCTCTAAGAATAGCAACACCAAGTTTGATGAGATATGGAACTGGTGGTTATTTGGACAAGGGCCCGTAGGAGATAGGAGAAGCGAGTATTTCTAACCGAAGGGGTATGTGGAATTAGGAGGGAGCTACACCATGTGGAGAGGAAGGAAGTCATAAAGTGCTTCCGTGTTAGAAGTCCGGGGTTACTGTGGACTGGAAAAGGGCCAGAAGGTAACACATATTGGTATCTTATGAAATAGGGCTCATCTTGGTGTCCTGTTATACAAAATACACACGTTATTTGCCTGGCATCTTCGTTTCACAGTTCCACCTGCCCGCTCTTCTCTGAGTAGTGTATTGTAAAATTGTTTTCCAATGCTACTACTATCTGTTGTCGTCTTTTCAGAGAATTGAAATCTCCGCTACTGAGCTTCTAGGATCACAATTTGATCTTCTTCTGCGACTACTGTGTCTGATTTATTACATAAAGCGCATTGAAGGATAAGTAAAGGGAAGGTATAGTCAAATATACAATACTTAACGGAGGTATAATGCAGAGCGAGGTTTTCATAGAGTATGAATGTGCACATTTATGTGGGCATTATAGGCGTCTGGACTCTGGGCTGGAGGAAAGACTAGCAAGTGACCCTTGGGTTTGCGTTTATACTTCGGGGTTTGAAATCATCCGATGTTGTGATAAAGGGCCTGCCGCATCTGGCATATTGTTGCCTGAGGCATAAATACAACACCGGTAATCACGTGGTGATATGAAAATAAATTGAAGATAGCAAAGATCTTGCAACTTCAATAATTTATCCAATTCAATTGAGACTCCATCTCAAGAGACAGCTAGCCCTATACTGCACATTGCTATACGGCCAAACCCGCTATATACACAGAAAGCCATCTACTCGGATCTAACGACCGTACACACCACACCTACCTCCATCCACCATGGGATCCAGCTCGAAGAAAAAGAAGGAAAAGCAGAAGGACTTCCAAGTAGGCCCACTCCAGCCTCACAAAAGAAACAAAGACTAAAGGAAACCAGAAAGCCAAACTAAAAGTCGGCAAAGCGAAAGGCAAGCCCGAAAACTTCACAGACACAAGCTTCAAATCCAAAGGTGCCGATACGACCTCCCGAAAACCGGATACTCAGAACTTGAACTAACCCAGCGCAGGAATCGTCCTAAACCAACAATCCCTAACACTCAACGCCCCAACCTCCAACACACAATTCACCCACCATGTCTCCCTCCTATCGTCTAAATCCGACTCCCAACGCCGCGACTCCCTCGCCCACCTAACAACCGCCATCACCTCGCGCCCCGTCACCTCTCCCCTCCCGCAACCAGTCAGCGTGATCCTTCCCACACTCCTCCCCCTCATCCTCGATGCAAACACCGGCGTCCGCACCCAACTCCTCAAACTCTTCCGCGCCCTCCCCCCCTCCGACATCCAAGACCACGTCCCCCAACTCCTCCCCTACATCCGAGCCGGCATGACCCACCTCGCAGCCGACATCCGCGTCTCGGCTGTCGAAACCCTCTCCTGGCTCCTCTCCGCAGCCGGCACGGAAGTTGTCTCCTCCGCCGGCGGCTGGATCAAGACCCTTAACTGCTTCCTCTCCGTCCTGGGATGGCACACCGAGGAATCAGCCAAGTGGTCCGCGAGCCGGGCCTCGTTCGGAAAATCCGGAGCGAAGGGCCTGCCCATGATGAAGGTTATGACTGTTTTGGCGGAGTTCTTGGACGCCGGGATTGGGGCGCCGGCGGAGGAGAAGTCGGGTGTTGATATGCTGGGGTCGAACGCTGGAGTCTTGGGGTGGGAGTTCCCCCTTTGTTCGACGGGGGTGCATATGATTCCGGATACGGCTGCGCCGTATGCTTATCTGAATTTGTTTGGGCAGCCGCGGGATGAGGAAGGGGAGATGTATGAGACATGGGAGGATCGGTATCGGGTTTTTGCGAATCGGTTTTTGCCGGCTATTCAGCGCGGGTTGGAGAATGCGAGGCAGGAGGGGGGTGAGCTCGGACGGGCTAGTTCGGGGGCGAGTAAGGTGTTGAAGGAGGCTGTTGCTTATGGGAGGGGGATTGCGGTGTGAATGGGTGGGTTGTGGTGATATGCTACGTCTTTACTCATGATGTTGGGACTTCTCTGAGGGAGAGAGACAGAGCTCTGCGATTTACGCCGATCTCGCCAAAGCGGGATAGAGGACCGGCAACCGCGCTTTGCTATTCGACGTTCAAGTGCAGTTGCGCATCAGGACCTCACAGTCTATATACTTGCGCCTTAAGGCTGATAGCTGATACGCCGCTGATACACCGACACGGTTGCTCAATATTAATCATACCCTCCCGGACAGGACGAGGAGCATGTATTCATTTCCATTCAGCATCGAAAATATATCGAGAGCAGCATGCATAGACACATAATGAATATACGCATCAACATAGATACACCTATAGGGCAACTAAGAAACCACCTCCTGTCTCGTTTCCTTATCCTGCTTCTTCTCCCGGCCATTTATACTCCCGGCTCCGTCCTCTCCTTCCCTAGCATCATAAACATCCTCCGGCATAACCGCCAGCTCGACAATAGACTCCCTCGCCGGAAAGCACACAGACAACACCACATAAACCAGACTAGTCCCCACGAACCCCAAAATCCACCCAAACTGATACGGATGCAGCCCAACCCCGACATGAATCTTACTATTAACCGAATTGATCAACCCGGGCAGATTCGGCGCAACGCCCACCAAGAACGCCACCACAGCCCGCCAATTCACGCCCCACTTGCCATACTGATACGTCCGATTCTCAGGCTGATACAGCGCCAGCGTATCGTATTTCTTGCGCTTCAGCAGCCAAAAGTCCCACAGCATGATGGCGGCGATGGGGCCGAGGAAAATAGCATACGCGGACATGAAGTTGAGGAAATTATTTGCCGAGACAAGGATCTTCCACGGCACGAAGCACCACGAGATTAGGCCGCAGAAGATCTGCCCGCGGCGGAGATTGATGTGCGAGGGAAGGATGGCGGTTAGGTCGTTTGCTGCGGAGATGGAGTTGGCGGAGATGTTGACGCCTAGCGAGGCGAGGGCGAAGCTGAAGGCTGCAAAGAAGCGACAGGCGCGGCTGGACCAGTTGCTTATCAGCACGGTCGGGTCCCAGGGGATGTCGCCGCCGTAGCGGGAGTGGCCGGCTGAGGAGGCTGCGATGCCGATGAAGGAGATGAAGGTGAAGATGATGGGGAGCATGGGGATGTAGAGGAGTTGCCATTTGGCGCTGACGCGGGAATAGCGGGAGAAATCGGACTGGGGATTGTATGGTTAGGATCTGCTCAGCTTGCTTCCTGGGGGAGTGGAATCGATGAGATGTGGTACCTGGTTCACGCTAAGTGTGGCATAATTCCCTAGTACTGAGGTCATGTTTGCGAGAAATAACCAGCTGAATTTCGAACCGGATACTGTCGCCTTCTGGTCCAGTAGGCCGCCTCCCTTCTCTGCGACAAAGGCCCAGATCAGGATCGCGATCCATGCAACCGGCACCAGCACGGACTTTGCTAAGAATAGCCATCTCACTTTGTTCGGGTGGATGCACAAGAATGGAAGCTGCACAAGCCAGAAGATGAGGTACGATACCATCCCGTTCGTTGTGATGCCCTGGTCTTCGGGAATGTCGTTCTTCAGCGTCAGGAAGCTCGGCCAGATGGCTCCTATCATCACGCGCACCGCATTTCCACCGTTGACGTTCTGAATCGCAAACCAGAAGAGTGCTAGGATCACTCGCGACACGATCGGTAGATACGAGCCCCAAAAGCCCCAGCTTGCGCGCGCAATGACAGGGAAGGGAATGTGGTAAATGGCACCAACTGCACCATTACCGGCGATAACGAAGGAGATTATGAAGAAAGAGACTGCGACGACGACGAGGGCTTCGCGCCAGCCGAGGCCAACGGCCATCATGCTGCTGGCGAATTGCCATGTAGCGGCATTGAAAGCGTCCGAGATCCAATATGCTGATAGTATGGTTAGTATTCATGAAATAAAATATGAAAACTGAGTGGGACATACAGATAAAGCTGGTGGGACCCCATAGCCGGCGGTGGCGGGGAACTGGGTCCAGGTCTAGATTTGTCCATCGCGCATTTCCCTCCGCGAAGGCTGATTTCGACTGCTGGACCCGGACATGCGGTCGGAACTTCATCTCGTTAAGGGAGACGGAGTAGGGAATATTAAATAGGATCTTGATTCAAGAGAGTAGTAAACCCATCCGATTCTAATGAACAAATGTTCAGCTCCAAGAAAGATGCAGGATGTAAGGGATAGGGTTAGTGATTAGGGCTCAATGCAACCTAACTGCAGATGCGCAAGTCAGCAGTAATATACCAATAGTTCTATGCACGGATGTTGATCAAACCCCGGATTAAGAAGGAAGACCACATCGGCCTGCAATAAAGCAACAGTGAGCGAGTGCTAGCATTAATATAAAGGCATTGGGGAGATGGAATGCGCCCCGATAAGGTCGGAGAGAGAGGACGTGATAAGTCTGCAGCATCACCCCGACCGTCATCGTGCCCGTCATTGGCCGGTTGGATCCTCGGGACAGGGCTGATAAGCTGATGGATCCTTTGATAACCATATTTAATATTTCTGGTACCATTGGCTGTCGATAGAGGGGGTCTATTTATCTCCTAGATAGCTAGATATGAAGTGGTATTGTTCATAACCTAGCCGCATCGAGCATAGATCGTCTCAGACACTCTCAAGATATATAAACCGTTGCATGCCCTAGCTTTGAATCCTATGGTAAAACCTTTGTTAGTTTCTAATGTATAGTTAAGCGAATGTTCTGCCCCGAAACCTTCCCTCTCTTCCGTTTCCGAACCCATCTATTCATGCGGCCAGACAACCCTAATCCCGCATACGGCAGTGCCATAACCTGCCCGCCAGGAACAAACCCTGGAAAACAATGGAAATCAAATCTCCACAGTGAAGCTCCATCCTCAAGAGGCATAATCTTGCTTCATTCCCTGTAAAAATACGGCTCGGCCACTGAAAAAACAGGGAATAAGGTCGTAGACAAGTGACAAACCACCTAGGTAGTCACTAACGGCTTGTAAGAAATAGTCAACATCTGTAGGTATCTGGGCTCCACTAATGGAGGATGCGGTGAATAGTAGCTGTTTAGTAGATATAAAAACAGCCCTCCCCCACTCCCCCGAAGCCTCTCCCTCCTTTTATGCTCGAACAACCTAGGGGTATGGCCTATGAGGTTTGTAGGCGTACCCTACCACCTGCACTATAGGTTTGCCTGGTGGAAGCCTCTTACTTTTATATAAACTCCTTCAAAACCTTCTTCCTTTCCTCTCCGTCTTCAAACAATTTGCAATACGTAATACCGCCAACTTTGCAAGGGACCCCCAGGAGGAGGTAGAAGTGCCCAAAAAAGGGCCAGGGCAAGATCCTAGATGTCGATACACTAGCTCACGACGAATATTGGAATATTTTCCAAATGCATGAAAATCTGAAGAAAAAGATTATCATGGAGTTCTATTGTGAGCCACTCGCACATACATCTCGGAAGTTATGCACGAATTCAGGACCAAAAAGAATATTCTTTTTTTCCCTTCCCAAGAGTGTTGTCTATATATTGTCAGCTTTTATACCAGGTGGATAAACGAGCCGCGCAATATACATATGGCTTTAGGTGCGTTTAATATCGCGTTTGGAGAAAAGGTGATTTGTTTCATGTCTCCTTCAGCCTTGTGTCTTGTGTTATTCAATGAAGTTAGAAGTCGCAGTACTATGTTATACTTCGTCGGGTTGAGGAGCCCAATTATCACACCGGAGTATATACGCATAATTATTAGCAATTATACTGTCCAATACCGCGGTTGTTTTCCAACTGGGCCGTGCCAAAGATCGCTCGATGTAGCAAGAAGTAAAATACGCTGAAGAAAAAAGTACTATGCGTTCAGCTTAAAAGCAGGTAGGTACACGGTGTTATCTGACTCAAGCACAAGAGGCCATCATTTACCATTTTCGGCCAAAGGAGGGGCCAAAGCAGGGGCCAAAGCTCTACCTGGAGCAGAGTTCACATATGTTAACTTACATGTTAACTTACCCGGCATAGGTTTAGTCATGGATACTGCATAATCAGAGAACCAGTAATGTGAGTGTTGTTATTGCAGGCCAATATCTACTGTACATATAGCGGCGACCGTTGCTGCCTTCTAAGTCGGAAACATAAAGAGGTGCTTTTTCAAACCCTAATCACATGATAACCCTGATATGGCTACTTCCGTATTCAAAGACTCGTTCCAATTTCGAATGGTAAAAATGAAGACCGTATGAAACGTAAGCCGTATAGTCATGTGCTGTTATGTATATCGAAGCCTCAATAAATAAACTGTCGACCTGACCAGATTGTAAATTAGTGCTCCCCGCTCTGCCGGCCACACAAATTAGTATAAGCCAAGCAGCCCGAGCATTCTATTACTCACATGCGGGAACGTGCGGTTATTTGGCAGCCCCGATCCTCCCTCATTCTCCATGCATCACTCCTGCGGTGCTAGACGCCATTTGTGAACATCTCGCTGAAATAACCAGCCTATACATTGAAGAGATGGCTGTTCTTCCGGGAAGAGTTCAACGTATTGCTATCAGCATCCAGCGTCAGACGTGTCCTTTCGCCACCTGGCTGGACAAAAACGAAAGCCGTGAACTACGAGATGTTCACACTCATAAGCTATCCGGGCTTTGGTTGCATCGTCTGGTGTTTGTCGATGGAGCCGGATCTGATAAAAAGGATAGGATATAGACGGACTGGCTGGTCACCACTCATCTTGACCCCGGTCCAAATGCCAAAATTTTATTGGGCTTCGCGGCATATATCACGCATCCGTACAGGGATTGCAGATTCAATTCGACGCCACGTGACACCAGCGGCGGAGCCTCGCCTCCTTTTCCAGGTCAGCTATGGGCGATATGCGCCCGGCCTCGTATGAAACTTGAAGAAGGCGTCTCGCACCTTGTGCTGGTTATGATCCTCAAGCCCACAGCCAAGTTGAGGCCACTTCTAGCTGACACTTACGCAAGATGGCGCGCCGCCTCAGTCACCATGACTACACGGTCGGGTGGGTGTGCGCCTTGCCGAACGAGCTGACTGCCGCGCAGGAGATGCTTGACGAAGAGCACCAAGACCCTCCTCCGAATCACAATGATACAAATATGTACACGCTAGGGTCCATAAGGGCCCACAATGTCGTCCTGGCGTGTCTGCCTGCAGGCCAGACGGGTACCAACTCCGCTGCGGCAGTGGCCATGCAGATGAAGACCACGTTCCCAGCCATTCGATTTGGGCTGATGGTGGGAGTCGGAGGCGGCGTTCCAGGCAAAGAAGGAGAGATTCGGCTTGGCGACGTTGTTGTCAGCCAGCCGGGAAACGGTCATGGCGGGGTGGTGCAATACGACTTTGGAAAGTCAACGCCAGGCGGGTTCAAGCGGACGGGGTTCCTCAACGCTCCACCCACGATCCTCCTCGCCGCCGTTACGAAGCTTCAATCAAACCTAGACCGAGGGAGAAGTAGTCTATCACCGCACCTGTCAAAGCTTGGTAACCTCCCCAAGTTCAGCCGCGATCAAGCAGGAAGCGATGTGCTGTTCGAAGCGGAGTACAATCATGGTGGAGAGGATAGCTGTCTATCATGTACGACCGGGAAAATGATACAGAGAAATGAACGGGCGAACAATACACCGATGATCCACTACGGTACAATCGCATCGGGGAACCAGGTAATGAGGGACGGTGTAGAACGGGACAAGATCAGCTCAGAATTCGGAGGAGTTCTCTGCTTTGAGATGAAGGCGGCCGGCCTGATGAATACTTTCCCGTGCCTGGTGATCTGCGGAATCTGCGACTATGCTGACTCGCACAAGAACAGGAGATGGCAGCCGTATGCGGCAGGAACAGCAGCGGCATACACGAAGGAGCTGCTAGGAGTGATACCGGCAGCGGATGTGGTGAACACAAAAACGGTCGATGAAGCACTACGAGGTTAGACTAGCCTCTCAGCTCGCAATCAGAGATACGACTCACACACTATAGAGGCGAAGCGTAGTTTCTACCTCCCCTTGCAACGAAACCATAAGTTTGTCGGTCGAAGTGCAGAACTCGATACGCTGAAACAAAAGCTCCTTGTGAAGAAAGATTGCCGGAAGGTGGCTCTCAGCGGCCTTGGTGGTATCGGTAAGACGCAAGTCGCGCTACAGTTTGTATACTCGGTTAAGGAGGACTGTCCAGAATTCTCCATCTTCTGGGTACAAGCTTTGAGTATGGAGACGTTTGAGTGGGGCTGCAGGGAAATAGCAGGAGCATTAGGGATACACCAGGGACAAGAGAGTAGTGAGGACGTGAAAATCTTAATGCGGCAATATCTATGTGCAAAGACCGCAGGAAAGTGGTTGCTAATTGTTGACAACGCTGACGAACTTGACTTACTTCGTGGGACCCATCAAACAGAAGGCTTGCTATCCTTTCTGCCAGAAAGCGAGGATGGCCTGACTATGTTCACGACGCGACATGGAGCCGTAGCGCAATACCTGACAGGCAGCGACGTGGTTGAGATAGGAAAGATGACGAGACAGGAGACAACGGATGTGTTAGAGAAGTCATTAGTTCGAAAGAGCCCTTCTGACAACTCTGAAACTGTGATAAACCTTCTCACAGAGCTGGAATACCTTCCATTAGCTATTACCCAGGCGGCAGCATATATAAACACAAATAAAAGCTCCATCTCCGAGTATTTGCGTCTATTAAAGAAGACAGAGGATGATGCTGTTGCACTCATGAGCACGGATTTCGGCGATACAACACGATATCAGAACTTGACTAATGCAGTCGCGAAGACATGGATAATCACCTTTAACAAAATTCTTGAATGCGATATGCTAGCGGCAGGTCTCCTTGCATTTATATCTTGCATTGAGTGGAGAGCGATCCCATACTCTATTTTACCAGCAGCTTATCCCGAAGCACGGCTGATAGGGGCCATCGGTACACTCTGTTCCTACTCATTTCTGGAGAGAAGAGACAATGACACTAAGCTCGACATGCATAGGCTAGTCCACTTGGCGACCAGGATGTGGGTAAATCAGAACGGCCGTGAAGCAGAGACAAGAATAGCGGCATTGAAACACCTCTCGGAAGTCTTTCCCTCCAACGATTACACTAATCGTGAGATCTGGCGGGATTACCTGCCGCATGTGGCACGCATAGAGAAGGATGAGCGATGCCAAGATACAGAAGAGAAGAGCGAGCTCTGTCTAAAGGTCGGGCGGTGTTTATATGTTGATGGGCGGATGAAAGAAGCCGTTCTCTGGCTACAGAAGACTTGCGTGTGGAGGGATAGAAATCTTCCCCAAGATAACGCATATCGGCTGTTATCGCAGCACGAGCTTGCTATAGCATATCAAGCAGACGGACAGGTCAAGGAGGCAATTAAGCTGCTAGAGTATGTTGTTGCGATAAGTACAGAAGTACTTGCAGAAGATCATCCTGATCGACTGGCGTCGCAGCACGGGCTTGCTGTAGCATATCAAGCAGATGGACAGGTCAAGGAGGCAGTCCAACTGCTAGAGCATGTTGTCCACACAGAAGCGGAGGTGCTCGCAGATGACCATCCCTCACGACTGGCATCGCAGCATGAGCTCGCTGTAGCATATCAAGCAGATGGACAGGTCAAGAAGGCAG